ACAACCCAAGGCTGGGAAAGAACACTGCTCGATTAAAGAGCTTGCCAAAACCGGAAAACCCTTATGCTGCCCATGATTTACTGCAGTTTTCTTTGTGAGCAGGCAATTCCAATTTTTTTGTTACCAATGCTAAATAATAACGTTAGTATCTTGGTTAGGAGTTATTTACGAGAAATTTTGTTGCACGGATTATGTTAACAGGAAATAATGAAGAGAAAACATATATCAGAATGCTTAAATTCATCTGGTAGTCCTTTCTTCAGGGCTATTCTTGATTTCTCGGCATCAAAAAAATTTACGCACTTATTCATATATCTCATAGATCACAAGAATAAATTAAAAGATTTTGCGGAAGTTCCAAATATGGAGAATAAGATGTGAATATATCAAATGTTTTCTTAAAATATTCTATTTACAAAAGAGTTTTTGTAGAATTACAATATTAGAAAAAATAGCAATGAATGCAGACATGATGTTCAAAAACACTGTACATAATTCATATAATTATAATTAATTTTGCTTTGAAAGGACTACAAGGGGTGAACCTGTACGAGTTCAAAAATTGGAGAAAACATGAAAACTAGCAATGAAAATAAACCAAATACTCTGGTGAATATAAAAGTTGTTCCTATGAGATACTACTGAATTGAGAATCAAAAATAACAAAGTCATTAGATAACTTCAAATAGACTGAAATTTTTAGTAAATCACAGCTTCTTTTTACAGATACTTACACTATTTATTTTTTCTACTAATAATAAAAATAGCTCCTTGAAAACTCTGTCGATAGTATTTTGGAGTAGAGGGTCTTTCAAAAAGTAATCGGATAATGACCAGTAAAGCTGAAAACTAATTCTATTACAAAGTTATGTACTACTTGACTAAGTGCATCTAACAGAACAGACAGAAAAACATAAAGTCTATACAGGGAATTAGGCTGGGTATCAGAGGGCATTTTTGCCACCTACCAACCCTTAATATGAGCAAAAACAGTTCATTGAGATAATATTTGTACATTTGATAACTCTTGTCCAATTATGTTGAATGGAACACCAGGAGAGAGTAAAACTTTTTTCTTTTTCTCTTTTGATTTTTTCTTTTCTAATTTCATTCAATGGAAATGGTGATTGAATAAGGAAAACTCCTGAGTATTTTTGCAGAAAATGATATGAATTTGTCTACAACCATTGATTGACCAGACCATAATTCAATCTGAAAGATGCGTTCTTCATACAACAACGCTTGACATTTATCTTTTCTTTTGATAAACAGAGTTACATTAATTCATTACCCCACTTGAGAATTCAAATCATCATTAACTTTGCGTGTTCAAAGAAAAATTTTGATTTTCTCTACAGGTGTACAAACAAGTGACCTATTGGATGAAAAGTAGCAAAATTTTGGTTTTCACTTATTTCTTGAGGACCAGTTCATAAAATACGTAACGCTCTGAGGAGGGGGAGGGAGATCCAGGAGAGTGTTATGCCATTTTGTTTGTATGTTTTGTAGGATAGGAACCTCCGTCACGAATGCTTCGAGAGAGGGAGAGGGGGATATCGAAAAAATCGGAATACAGCGTTTCATATTATTAACGGCCCCTGACCTGCGATGTGATTGATCTCTGAGTTAATTAATGGTATCACTGTGTGGAGAACTGAGAGAACACAAATTTACATACTGGAAAGAGAATGCGATTATCCCATTAAGATATTCAATTTTTTTCTTCTTGACTCCATAAAGGAACATTGTGCCACTCAAAATACCCATTAATTAAGGAACATTAATTAGGTAATAATTGACATGAACATTAAAAATTTATGATAAAAAAAATGAGCACCTACATCAAGAATTGTGTCACATATTATTGCAAGAAAGTATTGCTTAGTCCCTCCACAAATAGGGCCTCTTAAGAGATGTTCTTACCCCACAACGACAATTCTAATTTGCATCATTTAGTTCCTTCTTGGACAATAATTTTTTCTTTTTGCTAATAGAACAAGGGTTTTTTCCCCTCTGTGCAAAACACCATCATGGCTTTCAGGGCGAAATACCGCCATTATCAGGCAGCATTTAGTTCCAGGGAGAGCCATCATGATGAAAATACAATTTAGGGGCTTCCAACACCAGCTACACCATTTACATTGAGATGTAAATATTTTTCACAAAAAAATAGCCTGATCAGGTATCAAATGCCTGTGCAGGTAGTCAAATACTTCTACTCAGACTGAAATTCTGATATTTTTGCTATTTTAAACAAAACAATGGACCACTAGACAAGGTACGAATTTAAGCATCCTGATACATGTTTCTTAATCAGAATTTCACGTAGAACTTGAATCGCGCAACAAAAATTACTGAAATCAACTCCTAATGATGATATTAACGTTCTTATTTCACATTGGTTAAGAGGATTTTGAACTGCCCGCTCACAGGAAACTCAAAGCTCTACTTAAGTCAAATCGCGCCCTACAATGGTTTCAGCAAGCTTCTCAATCAAGGAATGTTCATTTCCCACCATATGTTGTACAAACGATAAGTAATTTACTATAGCTGAGCCAAAGCGTCGATATTGGGGTTGCTAGATTTTTATCTCGCATAGACTGTCATGATGACGTACAGCTCTCAATGTGAATTACATAGAACATGGAGTTTTCATAAGCAGGTGATTTGAATTCACGCATCAAGAATCATTAAATATCTTCATAAGGAGTTGATTTCAGTAATTTTCGCTGTGCACATCGTATTCTACGTGAAAATTTGGCTAAGAAACATGAATCAGAATGCTGAAATTCGTACCTTGTCTGGTGGTCCATTCTTCGGTGATATGGGAAAAATTATTTGAGAAAATTTCAGTATACAATGGAAAATACATTATTTTTAGTGTTCAAACGAGCATTTATCTCAAAATTTGTAGCATGTCATAAAATGAAAAACTTTGTAAACTATCAAAATTTGACTGTTTACCTTGACATTTGATGAAATCCCTGATTTGACCATTTGTCTGGAACATATTCAAATTCGAAGATTTAATTATTCAAACTATCTGCTTTGTACTGTAAATTTACTATTCAAGCAGTCCCAAGGGGGGACCGATAAGTACTTCCAGCAATAAAAATAGTGCGTATTAAACAGGGATGCAGAGAGTTCTTAGCCTTTCCACATGTCAAATTGGCCTTCTCATTTTATGAACATGTTCTTTTCTAAAGTTTTCTAGGCTACAACCTTTCTTTGTCCTCTAAGTTTTCACAAATGGCTGCTGTGTCAAGCAATTTTCTTTATCAAGCAAATTTCTTCACAATAATACTAAAAACTTGCAAATTTTTCAATGGTTTCCGAAAATTCACTTTATTTTGACGCTTTGGGGTACTGGCGTTTTTTCATGCTAGCGGCCATGCGATCATGATTGCATGCTTGTTAAGTTTCTGCATCCCTTAAAGAACTACAGAGCACAACAAATTCTATTCCAGTTTGTTCCAGTTACTTGCTAAACTTGCCTTCTAAAAGTTACAAGAAGTTACAGGAAAAATTTTCAATTTTTCTCCTCATAAGATGGTTGTAATCTTGATGAAGAAATATGTTATAGTAAAAAAAAACTAAATAGGGATACAGATTGTTTCTTCTCCGTTAGAAGAATGGACTGATTATGCAGCAAATATACATTACTACATAATACACAGAGCATTATATTTATTTTTTCAAATTATATTTCGCAATAAATTAAAAGGCATTTAACCAAGGGTCATAATCATGTTCGTATTGCATAGAGCATTATTATTACAAAGATGCAGTTGGGGTGTAGCTACCTCTTGAATGCATTTTAAATAAATAAAACTGACTTGTAATCATCCAAGTACAGCTCAAATCAAAGTTGTTGCTAAAGCGTTTCAATAGTGCTCTATGAACAAAAAGTCAAAAGATATTAGACAGTTTGAGAGAACATTTGTGTTATCCTGTCTTTTTCTTAGTTTAAAACTAAAAACAACAAATGAATTTGAATATTAATTATGTAAAAGCGTCTTTGATTAAAATCTTAAAAGTTTTGGCCAAGTACCTATTTGGTATTACAATTCATTGAGAGCCCAAAATTTTAAGAGACATTTTATTAGAGTTTCTGAATTTATTGGACTTTTCTCGTTCAACCCTTGAAATTGTTTGTTTTTGAAATAAGATTGAACACCAAATCTGCTAACATATAAACAAGAATAACGCAAACTTTTTCATCAAGCGCTTTTCAAGTACAGGATTTTTATACAGGGAGTCAAATTTTACACTAATACTATAAATATACTTTAAAATTTAAACTTAACAATTCATTTAGAAATTTACTTTGCATTATTACAATCTGAAAAGAAAACAACAAATTAAAAAATGTTTCACGGGGCAGCTGCCGAGCTTCTGCAAATATTTGCTGGCAAATGAAATAAATTTAGCAAGAAACTCAGCATGGCTGCTTTGCTTTGAGGAAGCTCCATCTGCAAGAGAGCTCCAAAGAATAAATTAATGAATTAAATGTACTTATAATAGAGCCTAACAATAAAATAAAATTAAAAAATAAATAAATTATTTACACTTTTTCAGCAGTCAAAACAGCAATTTCTATTTTAAAGACTAACAATTCTATTTCATCATGAGAGGACTTACTTCATTCCTGCTCATGATTTTCTAAAATATTATGAATGAACTATGCATGTCATAAGTGCCTAGAGAGAAAAGGAAAATACGTTGATAAATGGATACCAAAATACTAAACACGAAAGAAGGGAGTACTCAAGACTTCCATGAAAGGTAAGCTAACAGTCAGCTGTTCATCATTATCAATTTAATTCAATCCTATTTTTGCGGCTTGAAAAAAAAGGGACTGGATAAAAAGTGAATGCAAAAAACTCCTCACTCCAGTTAAAGCGTTTTACTGGTGAATTTCAAGTCAGCAAGCATCTCAAGAACAGAAACACCTGATACACTTGGAAACAACGCATTTAACAGATTCAATCATTTATGACTGAATGTACTGTTCTATTGATGTCATTTCAAATACTTTTTCAGATTTACTTACAGTAAATGGTTCATTAAAGATTGATTACATGGGAACTGAAAAATTACTTGCCTATCAGATTAACACAAAAGCTATTTCTCATGTTTAAACGTCTATTTATCAGAATTATGATTATTTTTCTGCTCATTTCCACAGTGCTTTCGGAAAGTCGATAACAGTGAATAAACGTCCTCTGCATTGCTGCCCTGTCTTTACTTGAGTACAGATGATGGGTGAAACTGCAAAAACGCGTCTTTCACTATGCGACGCTCCAAATTTTCCGTCATAGTTCATTTTTTAAATGGAAAAATACGGAAAGTCCTTTCTAGAGAACTTTCTTGATTTTTCTCAGCTCTGGGTGGAATATTCTGTGCAATTTTCGATAAAAAAAAGTTGGTTCATTCACTTTTGATGAACTAAAATGGGAGCAAAAATTCTGAGACACCGCAAACGAGATACCCGTTTTTTCAGTTTCACCGTCCATATGAATGTAGAAAATCACCATCTTTCTTAGTAATATTTTGGTGAGTCTTGGTATATTGGGAATTTTTTTTAGAAAAACAGGGGCTTGAGACGGTAGGATTGAAAATTTCATGAAACTTAATAACTCATTTTGAATATTTTCGGTGATGTAGTTGAACAGATACAATGAGCCTGGGAGATAATTTTTGTTAAGATTCATTACAACTAAAGATGAGATAAAAATAAGAAAGAGGCTCAGCGGTACTGACTGCAAAAATCTAAGTGATAAAAATTTAAAAGACAAAAAATAAAAATTCGTAAAACGATGATTTAGAAATTTTATAATTATTAGGTTGCTTCATATAATATTTCTGGGACCTCTTCTGAGGTCTTTAAACCTCTATCTCTTCGTATGAGAACTAGAAGTTCCAGATTGAAATCCCTCCGATTTGACACAACTTTGCGCCAAATCTACATTATCATTAATTCCATTATGTTTTCCTAGTCATGGTTCTAAATACCTGAGCTCCTAAAATTTTCAGAGATACATTTTCGAGCCAAACTGATTGTGAGATCAATGAGCAACGCCATCAAAAGTGCCCATTCACAATTACTTTAAGATACTAGTATGTTCACTAAGAATGCTAGGATTAGTCTTTCACTGGGTAAATTTAACCAGAGAGAAAAAAATTAAAAGGAACTGAAAGTTAGTACAGCTTAAAGATTTCATTCGCTCAGACACTAGATAGGATAATTCACAATTAAGACATTTGACTGAAACATCTTTGTTAAATAAAAAATTAGCTTAAAGACAAGGGTGCTTTGGAGTCACTTATGTGACCGACTGATGCATTCAATTAGTTCAATAAATTTTGTCAATTTTGAATGGTGAAAAATCACAGCATTTCACAGTGATTTAATAGCGATAGAACGTTTTCAGACAAAATAGAATGCGATTTATCTCATGAATGAATTTATATGGAATTAGAAATAGGATACTGTGATTGTTCCAAAACATGACACTAATAATTAATTTTTAAATTAAAATAGGTTATGGCACTTTAATTCAGCTGGAGGAATCTTTGCAATGTGATGAGAGGCTTCTCCTTGATGGAAAATGGTTTATACTTTTAAAAAAGAAAAAAAGCCAAACAATGTAAAGTACTTACAAGAAAAAAAGATGATAGACCGTGAAAGAACCACAAACGGTAATTAGGAACATTCTTTCTCCTACATAAATAAAAGCGCAGTTCAAAGGGAAAAATATGTTCCTATGTCCACTTTCAACTTCATTTTTCCAGTTTAAAAGGAACAAATATGCAAAATGTTCAAAAGAAGGTTACTGAAGAGAGTATGAATTTGAAATATCATTATTTCTTCCGCGCAAAAACTTGAAAAAAAGAAAAACAGTATCAAGGAAAATTCGTTTCAACAAGTGAGGGAGAAATTCATAAGTAAACTGAGATAAATTCAGTTAATTTGAGTGCTTTGTTCATAAGATAACTAAACAAAAAATTCACAAATCTAATTATAGGTATGTATTCAGAAAAAGAAGGTTTTAGAATCCACTGACCAAGCCTTAAAATTAAAAATTTCTCGGCTGACTATTGAGGAGGCACAGCAGTGGACAGAATTGTCATTAGTCCATAGATCCTCCTCTGAGTATCAAACATGATACTGGATTTCCTTCACATAGATTGTTATTTACACAGAATTTTGGCAGGAAAACGTATGAAAAGATGCTGAAATTTGTAGCATCTTGTGAATCATTTTAAATGCCTGCCAAATTACGTGCAAAGACCATTGAATTCATACTGTACAGCGCTGTGGAGTAATATCTACATGATCACACTGCAGAATAGTTATTTTATAATCAAATTTCAAGCTTTTTTTCTCTAGATTTCTCTAGAAGCTAGATTTCAGATCACCGAGTTTTTGCATTGCAGACCGGTAATTTTGCTCACTTCTAATCACTGTAAGTTCTTTGAAATATTAAATCAGTTTAAAGTGCGCATTAGAATTGCTGATGTGATTTGATGGTTCTACAGTAATACCTTGATTGCCTGCTCATCATTTTTTCGGCACTCCAGATATCCAGCGCAATCAAAAATCACAATTATGCATTATTTTTCTTGTTTTTTCTTGTTTTTTCTTCACTTTTTCCACGCGTATATCATAAGATCTGATGCATTTCGATTATCTGGCGTTTTCAGTTCAGGGCTTGGGCCTCCACCACGATTCATTAGATAATCAAGGTACTACTGTAATTAAATTTTGCTCCTTTCAAACCTTCAATCAACTTACCTGACATTTCCTTTCCTTATTTTTAATCTTGAAAATTGGCAATTAATGAAACACTGTATGTGTTCATTTCATTCCTAAAAACTTCCAGGAGCAGCATCTCATAATTCAATACAAATAATACCATTCAGCACAGTTATGCACTATTTCAGTAGGAAATTTTACATTCTCCTGCTCCATGCTTGGCAGTCAGTTTTGCCGAAACAAAATCAAGGTCATTATCAAAATTTCACAATACTCTTTATCTCATCTTTAAATCAGAGTGAGGAATTTGTGCAGAAGGCAAAAGAGACACAGCACAACACCTTTAATTTAGATAAATTAAAGTGTAAACTTGGTTGATTTTTGGTTGTGAAAAAATTCCAAGTTCCACAAGAATACAAAACTTAAGCGCCTTAAATTTTGATTTCTCAAAAACCTTACACTAAACTTAGAAATAAAAGAAACTATAGTAATCAATTCCATTCTTTCAGCATGAGACACCATGAAATTCATAAAGGAGGCTTTGCAGTTTATCACTTGCTGAGAAAATAACTACAAAATCACAAAACGCATTTCAACAATTGTTTGTTGAGATTAATATGAAAACATGATGGACAGAGGAGTAAAGAAATAGAAAAAAAGAAACTTACAGGTTTTCAAGACAAGTAATGGATTTGTACGTTACGTTTGAAGCACGTTTGGGACAAGGATTAGGGCTTGAATTTGACTAGAGGGATGTTTTTTGTGTTTAAGCAACTATCGCATACCCATTCTGCGTAAACTTCTGCGGTTAAATAGTTATAGGCAGCTTCTGATAGGCCCGTACAGACTCTGTAAAACAAAATTGAGAGCAAAAAGTATTATATAGGAGGGCAGTAAGTAAAACTTGAATCAAAATTTTATCAAATGTACTGCATTTTGAAAATAGGAGCTACTGGTTTTGGCTCATTCATACAAGCACCTATCAGTATGAGAAAAGTAGTGACACATACGTTGTTTCTAAAATGAGCCAGAGATAGTACTTCCTTACAGTAAAATGAAGTCCAAATTTCCATCACAAACATATTCTGCAGGTTAGCAGCCAATGAAGTCCGTAGGAATTATTCAGAGATAATTCATAGAATAAATTCTAACACTTTCAGAGAGAATGGAGGTGTGGCCCGATTTAGACACTCGTACTCAAATTTTCAGGCCTACAGGAGACTAGCTGAAAGTACATCTACTTTTTTCTGGAACTTCACTGTTGCCTTTCAATTTCTACAGAGATTGCTAAAATATTGCACATAAGTAATCCTAAAGATAGTGTAACTGATTTTCGTGCAACTGTTATATCCACATTCTTGTCTCTTGCACAACAGAATGCATCTTGTCTGCGCTGTTTCAGTATTTTTGAGAATATTTTCTTTTATTACAGCAGAACTGTCGTACAAATTCGTCTGAAAGGAGACTTCTTTCATAAGTGTAAGGAGATTTTATAGCTGACTGATTTGAGGGACAACCGCAACAGTCTGCATTCTGAGATGGCAGACAGGGGAATCCTATCAATGTGTGCGTCAATTGGTGAAATAGCCTTTAACATAAAATCTGCACTTGGCATATGAAGTGTAAAACCTTCAGAAAAAGGAGGTAATAAACTAAACACTTACCTATGGTACCAAAACCTACAGCCTGACTCGCACAACAATGCTTGATCATTGTCAATGACTTCTTTATGACAAATTCCACAGGGATATATGGGCGGAGCATTAGGATTTTGAGGGTTGACAACTGTAGATAAACCAGGAGGGTAGATCTAGGGCAAAAAATCAAAATGAAAATTTTTTATAACATAGTAACGCAATATGCAAAATAGGAAGAAAAAATTGGTGGTCAAAGCTTAAGTCAGAATAAGAAAAATATTGATGTTGGTCGACCTTCAAAGTAAGGCACTGATACATAATTAAATTTGTACATAGGTTAATTCAAAGTACTTGTTCAAGAATTTATTGGGTTGAGTTTGCTAAATCTTATCATCATCATCGTCCTATGGTTAATAGCTCTTTTCCACGTACAAACTAGAACTCTCAAAGCTCAAGAGCTTTTTCAGCCATCTTATTGGCCAGCAGTGCAAGTCAGGGTAATTGATATGCTTCTTTAAGGCCTTTTTTTTACATGGAGAAGTACCTTATCGGATGAGAATCGAGAGAAATTTTTTGCAACTAACTCTTCTACAAGAATCAGAGATAGGTGTTAACACATTGACTGCTCTCAATACTGTGGTCACCGTAAGATAGTCTCATAGATGAGGCTGAGCGATATTTATTTCATGGAGAAAAAACTTGAAAGTGATAAACTTACCCTCCCTGCAGATATGGACATTGACTTGGGACCAGTAAAGTTGTTGTTCATTGGATGCATCATTCCTGGACCCATATTTGGTGGACCGCCGGGTCCATGCATCATGGGCCCCCTGATTGGTCCGTTCATAAATGGTGAGCAATGATTAGACATCGTCGAGACTGGTGGGCCACAAGGGTTATTGGGCATTGGACCACACTGACTACTTGGCATACACTGCGGGCCATTAGGATTATTCATGTTATTGAATGGGTTCATGTTATTTGGGCCGGAGTTTGAAAAAATGTTCATGTTATTCGTGTTACACTGAGATGTTTTCACGTCGGATGAGTTATCCATGTCATTTCCCAGAGTGCTGTTTGCATTTGAATTTGCAAGAGAATCTAATGGGCTATTTACTATTTGATTATTGCTACTTGAGTTACTACTTGGATTATTGTTCACGGTGCTACTCCCATTGCCATTACTAGTTTTATTACTGCTATTATTACTGTTACTACTGTTATTGGTGATGTTGCTAGTGTTATTGTTGGGGTTGGAACTACTGTTTCCATTATTGTTATTGTTAGCACTTGGGTTGCTGTTATTGGGACCAGGGCCGCACACACTAGAGTTTGCATTGCTAGTGTTAGGGTTACTGGAATTACTACTATTACTGTTTAAATTTGGGGACGGCCCACCCATTGGACTACCCAATGAGCCTGGATGAGAGTTGATTGAATTCATTGGACTTTTATTCACTATGCCTAACCCTAAATCACCTCCGATGGAACATGAATTATTACCCATTGGACTCGACAAAGTTGAATTCATATTCATATTCGTTGAATTCCCACTGGCGCAGCTATTCATTGGACCATTATGCAACGGACTACCAATGGGGGACCCACAGACGTTGTTCATGTTTGGATGCATGTTGGAGATGTTAACGCCTTGATGCATTGGGCTACTTTTTCTTGCCGGATTGTTTCCCATTGGACCACAGTCCATGGGACTTCCAGACATGTTTGGATTCATCATGGCACCAAGGGGGCTTCCAATTTGCTGTGGGCTCCTGTTCATTGGGTGCATATTCATTGGATTCATCGGACTGCTATTTGGAGGGCCACATCCCATCATCGGACCTGCATTACTCATGGGAGGGCACAGAGGACTCCGTGTTGGCTGAACATTTCCGCAAGCACCCAAAGGACTTCCAATTGATGGTCCGCAATTCATTGGACTACAACTGTTCATTTGCGGACCGCAGTTCATCGGACTCCCAATGGAGGGCCCGCAGTTTATTGGGGATCCTATTTGACATGGATTTCCCATGACTGAGTGGCAGCCTCCCATAGGTCCTCCTGAGGGCATAGGGCTGCCTGACATGGGGCCTCCAGGCATAGGACCTCCAGGCATAGGACCTCCTGACATGGGACCTCCTGGCATTGGCCCCCCACCCATTGGTCCGCTTGACATGGGACCCATGTGCCGCTGCATATGATGAGGCTGATGACTCATTTGATTGACAGGTGGGAAATCATCAAATGGATTTGAGGCAACAATTGTATCACCACCATAACCTAAAAACGAAGAAAGAAAAATCAATGATCATGAACATTTCACCAAGGAAAATAAAAACAAACTCCATCAATCTTTACCATGAGAGAGACTTGATTAATAAGTTTTGATGTTGCGATTACAGCTGATTTGTCCATTTCCTAATTACCTGACTGTAAGCCCTCAGCACATTTAACAGGTAACATGCTTACATTTGTGTGCCAAGAGAATGATAACCCCAATGCCAAACTTGACATCAACAATGATGCCATTCAATGGAGTATTTACATTTTGAAAAGGAATTTGTGTAAAGTCTCAAAATAAGTAAACATGAATTATGTAGCCACTTTGTAAATGGTATCTACTTAATGAAAATTACCGTGAAATTAGTAATGGATCAATTATTGTTTTAACTTTTCTTATATTTAGTCATTTTTACCTCATTTTGTCTCATCTCAGTTACCTTTGAGAACTTGTTCATCTTAAGTGCAGATTTGACTAAACGCTGAAGTGACTCAAAACCATTGCAGTATTTCAGAAAGAATAATTAAGTATTTGATAAGGAAGTATGATAATATATGAAAAGTAAGAAGACAGTATTTCGGAGAAGAGACATTTTGGGTTGATTCGCCTGGTAGAAAACCTGCTAAAGAATGAGAAAATATGCTATAGGAGAGGTATCTACAAGATAATTTGACAGGTTATTTAACCAGGCTTGCTTAGCTTGATGTTGGCAAAGACTTCCTTGCAACAATGGACCATAAGACAAAGAGTGAATTTAAGCTTTGTGATACAAATTTCCTAACCAAAATTATATTGCGGAACACAATCCGCCCAACAAAAATTACTGAAATCAACTCTCAACTACGGTTTTAGTTTACATTAATTTGATCTCCAGAAATTTGACAGGAATTTGACGCTCACAAGAAAAATAATAGTCTCCTTGAATCAAATTGCATACTAGGATGGTTTTTGCAGGTTTCTCAATCAAGCAGTGTTCCTATCCCGCATCAAGTTTTTCAAAGGGTTAACAACCTGCAACAGCTGAGCCAAAGCACTGAAAAAGAGGTTGCCTAATATTCATATTGTAGTACCGTAACGGTGACGTTTCGAGCACTTCTTGACTCCCATTAACTTAATGGGGGGATTTTGAATTTACGTATCAAAAAACGTTAAATATCTTACTTAGTTGGGAGTTAATTTCATTTGCGCAAATCGTGATCTACCTTAAATTTTGGTTAAAAAAAATACTTCACATTGCTTTTTGCACTTTATCTCATGGTCCAAACTTCAGGGTTGCTTTTAAAGGTATATGGACCGCGTAGAACAGAAAGGAACCAAGCCACATCAGCCATTGCCAAATTTCATTGAGAAATTAAATTTTTTATATTAAAACAGTTGTGCAGATCTTCATGCAAATTTCAGTGAATTTTCTCCATTGTTCGAAGCAAATTCCTTAAAATGTTCAAAAGAATCCGCACAAACATTCTCTCGTACAAAATTGAATTGCCCAGTTAAATTTGGCAATAGCTGATGTGGCTTGGTTCCCTTCTGTTAAACGCGGTCCATTTAGGGTAACAGCTAAGTAAATACAAGCATTTATTTGACACAAGAGAAATTGGAGGAGGTTTGAGGGTTGCACATCTCACTCCTGTATGATAGGCATGAAAAAGATTCTACGTGCTTAGTAGTTGAAAGATGAAATACCAAGTTTACCAGGCATGGGTGGCGGAAAAATGTCATGCATGGGTTGCGGAGGAGGAGCCGCTGCTTGAGCAGCCGCTGCATTAGCCGCTGCGGAGCCTCTCCTCTTCTTCTTTGGTGGAGGAGGATCAGCTGCTGCCATCATCGGAGGCTTAAATTCACCGCCCATTGGATTCATCCTGTCGTCAAATAAAACAGAAGCAATAAAGATATGGAAAGACTTCATTTGAAACTTTTTGCAATTGTAAATATTGACTTAGAGCAAAAGTTGCTTATATTAAATTATCCTCTGAACAGTGTTCAAAACTCACAGGCGCCAAAACGCCAAATGCGCACAAGAAATGAGGCACCAACACGCCAAATGCGCCTAGGAAATGAAGGCTCTGCGCCAACGTCGCCACTAAAAATCCCCCCCCCCCACCCCAAAAAAAATCCTAATTTTTCTGTTTGGTGATGTTTCAAAATTTCCCCCGATTAGTTACTAGTTCTGTAACTAAAACATCTTACGTCTAACTTTTCACTAAATTCACCGTGATGTATGGGCAAAAAGTCAATCTGGCCCCTAAAAAATCTTCAATGGCTCCTAAACATTGAGCTTGATGCGCCACATGGCTCCTGAAACTCAAAGGTGAGTCTCGAACACTGCCTCTGAACCCCTCAGAAAATAGGAGGCCGATGCATTAAAAACAGAATCAAGACTGATACACATTTTGTAGGCTAGAGCAAATGCTTTTTGTCACAAAAATTGATGCACTTGTTCCTTTTTCACAAACGGGAGATCAATTCGTCGCTTGGCTGACATAGGGGCGTAACTGTACATTGAGATGAGCCCGGAAAAGCAATTAATTGTATGGAAGACAGGGTTCATTGCAGAGTGTAGATACGCCCTTATATCAGCCAAGCGACGAATAGAGCAAAGTTAAGTTAAAAATTCGGTTAAAATTATGGCAACAAGCCTAGAGTGTTTAACTATTGATACAAATTAAAAGTTTGGCACAGAAATGTCAGATTAGGCATTGATTTTTTCTAATAAAATAGGAAGTCTATTTAGCAAACAAAGGGTCTGGTGATCAGGAAGTTTACAGACTTATTTAAGCAGGATACACGCATTATCATGTGTTGTCACGGATTGTTCCAGCGAACCGAAATCAGCAAAAACCTGCAGCCATCTCATATTCAGACAAAATTAAATGACTTTCATAACTCAGAGAATTTCTTTTTTTCTTTTTTTTTTAAGCTCCACAAAAAATTACTTTTTGAGATTGAGAAATTTCTACCTATTTTTTTTTTTTTTTGTTAACAGAACATATATTATTACACTTTTTTTTAATTTTCCAAAAATCAACCTTTTGATGAATTGAATTTGGCAGAGAAGAACTAACGCCATTACAAAGTTGCAAAAAATTGTACATCTTGATCAGTGGCGTGGCGTGCTTTGCCATATATCGATTGTCCTGCCATTTAAACCTATGGTAAAGAATCGATTTTTAGGGTGTTCGCTGCGAACACCCTGATTAACACTACACATATATTTAGTATTTTTCGAAGTAAAGGGGAAGTTACACGATTTTGAGGACACTTAAATCACACTGGTTCCCTTAATGTTCAGTTTAATGTTTGCTAATGTCCAGAATATTTCATCCAAGCATGTTCGAGGTGGTTTCACGTTTATAATACTTAGTACGAATAAAATAACTGAGAGAGGCAGATTTTATCACATCAATCACTATACTAAAATTAAGGTGAGTAATTAAAACCCTTTTTCTTTAAAATCAACTACTTAATAAATCTTGCCTACCTACAAACCGACCGCAATCAGCATTAGCTACTTTTAAGAAAACTTACTTTTTCTAACTGTAAGTCATTTCATGGAATAGACTTGCGACAACTTACCCACACATTCCAGGAGGCATCTTGTCATCAGGATAACACATGTTCCTTCCCATATGCATGGGTGGCTCTCCTCCTGGGCCACAATTCTGATAATAATTCATGGGGGCTCTCCCTCGTGGCATGCTGAACAAAAAGTGATCAGAAAATGAGAGAAATGATAGAATATTATTACAACATACCTAGATGTCTTCCCAAAAAGAGGGAAAATTTCTTAACCTGTGAACTGCTACCCTCTGATTTAAGATTTTAAGTTTAGGTAGAGAGTGGGCAGAGTCGACAGAACAGAGTCAAAACACTGCAACTGAGTTATCAACGGTGTAAGTCCCCAACAACATATCTTGGTTTGCAACGTTGCAGAGTTCTTGTTGTACCTACTTAACTTTTTAAATGGAAAACTACTTAACGGAAATTCTGAGGAACTGCCAAGATTCCATTCAGGGGTCCAAGGGTCCTTTCAACATTCAGGGTCCATTTGCAATAATAACAAAATGGGGGTCCAATAGTTTTGCATGAAGAAAAGTATGGCCATGTTCCAATCAAAATCTAAGAAGGACGCTATGTGACCTCCTCATGTCAGTTACCTTGAAGTGATCACAGGGATTAAGTAGAGAAACCAAACAGATAAAGGGACTGAATTGCGGAGACTGAAGCACATACTAGAGATAGTTACATTTTCCTTCAATCGGTTTAGGGGGTTGGGGGAGCTGACTGGTTGAGCAGTCATTGCAAAAAAACCAAACCTTCATGGTATTTACTTGTCAATAGATATGAGAGTGAAAATACTGCTCAGGTGAGTTCCAACTTCTGCATACGGGAATGACAAAACTTTAGTATTGAATAAGCAATAAGGAAAAATCATCCGTTTGCCACTTTGTACCTTCCTCTTTGTTGGGCTCTTCTTATTGGCAATTGAGAAAATTTGAGCAAATTTAATACTTACTTGACATAGGGTGCCATTCCTCCCATGTTGTGGCTCATTTCCCTTGGCTACAATTCATTCATCAGAAAGAAAACTGAATGTTGTTACTGCTCTCTGGCCTTCACAAATACACACCTAGAAGGAACATGAGACAACATTATTACGAAACAGGGGCTAAATAATTTGAGACAGTGGAACATGTTGAACTGATCGAGTGGAACACATGAACCTCAAAGTAATTCAATTTTAATTTTACATGGACTTTCCACGCATTTCCTTGTAGTGCGGTTAAATTTTTGGAGAAGATGGTAAGTCATTTCTACAAAAGGTAAATAGACCTTCCTTTAAACAACTTAAACACTTCGGGTGTGTTTCACTTGATCAGGGTTCTTTGTTGCACTTAGAAAACTTTCTCCCTGTACTTCTTTAAGAAGGATGTTAGGAACTTATCTATATCATAATAACGTGTAGCGCCTGGCTTGCAAAAAAAATCTTGTTCAGTATATTTGTACTTGGGTTTTTCTGGTCATTAGTTTAAAGTTTATCCCCCAACCAGTTAGTTTCCATTTTGTACAGTGGTGATGATGTACGCATAAGCACACTTGTTAAAAGTCTGAAGACAGTCGTTCGTGCCAAAGAGATGATGGAATTAGTGATGTTTTCACATCTTTCATCGGAAAGTAAGTAAAGTAAAAAGTTTCTAGTCAAAATTGAAAGCTCTAATTAATTACTTACGCAAACAGCAATTAACTTATCTGCATAAGTAGGCAAATAAATCCCTAACAAGTCTAGTATGTATGAATTTTTTCTCAGATAACCTAACTTCCGATCACGTATGCTTACACGGGCAGATGCTGATAAACAGACAATTAAGATGCATCAATCAAAATGATATACCAGGTAACTTTGATTTATGAGAACCTAAATTTGAGGATTTTGAGCTCGAATAAGTGAATGAATTAGTTGTTTTTCAAAAAATACACCTGTTAAAAAGCTCAACTCTTCACGTTTGAGTCAAACATGAGCAAGACTCCACCAGAGCCTCGAGGATTTTCTCCATGATTGTTGGATTTAAATCTTCATGAAATAAAATAAACATATATTTTGCTTGCAGTTTATAGAGCTGTATGCTTAAAGTGTCTGATTTAAACGATGGTGATAGGGCAGTGACGCTGATGGATCAATCAACCACACTTGATAGCCCAAGAGACTTATGCCGATGAAATGGAGGGCACATAAGCAATTCGAAACTTTTGACAATATTGAAGAGGTAGAGAAAAGATAATCATAATAAGATGTGATTTGAAAAGCACATGATCCTAGCTTTGAAGTGCGCCGACGGTCTTTGTCTCCTGGGGTTACCTGCCCCTGCCAACAAACAGAGCCAATATGATATGATCCCTTTACTAAATTTCGGTTTTTACACGAAGCAAGTGCAGTATGAGACTTTCGTTTCCTGTTAAATCCTCTCTGATAACTTCGGAACGGATTTCAAAACTTCCGGAGAGGTTAAAAATTGAGAATGTAAGGTTAGAGTACATACATACCAAGTCTAAGCGAGGCAAAGGTTTTCACATTTCGGAGAAAATGGATCGGAAATATCAGCACTTGGACAGTCGGAATTTCAGCCGTAATTTGTGGAACATTTTCCGTAAACATAAACTGCAGTTCAACACAAAACGATGAATAAATGCGAGAAATAATTCGTTTGAAATAAGAATAACAAACGTTGAGGAGTTTCAAACACTCGGTTTCCACTTAGAGATCATCGTTGGACCAGAAATGAAAACATGATTTCAGCGAAACTTCAGGGAGAAATTAAGAGGAACACGCACGGTAAAAAAGATTGAGAAAAGTAATTTTAGTTAAAAGGCTTTCCTCAATAACCACAACAAACCGAAAAAACACACGCCATCTCTGAACAAGCAGGGAAGGAATTTTGGGGAATTACCTATCAGCTGCACCAACAGATTTCAATCGGGTGAATCCCAAACACTTAAATATTTGTTCGCTCATGCCAAAAGTAAAGTTCAAGTACCTTGATTAAAGTTACGGTAACTTTGAACTTAATAAATTCGTCATTTATCAGGGATATTCACGTGAAGATTTTATTTTAGACTTATAGTAAGCGTATGGTGCATTGGTTTTTTGTTATGTTGGTAATGATTAATGCTCCATAAAAAAGGGGGTCCCATCCTGGCCTGGCCATTTTGCCGTAGCCGTAACTCCGTCCATGTCCGTACCGTAACGTAAGTTGTGTTTTCGCACAACAGCAGGGATAATAAGTACACCTTAAAATGATGGCTTAATAAATTTCATACACTCTGAAAACTGTGGCCCAATCTTCAGAAACGCCGCTTGATGCAGCCTTTAGGCTGTCAAGAGTCAAGAAAAAAATGAGGAACGTTGAAGTTGCAAAATCATGGCAAAATCACATGCCCATTCTGCCGTGCAAAAGAAGAACACCGTATGAACATTCAAGAGTTGCCAAATTTTCCCGAATAACACAAGTATTTTTGAAGAGAGTTTCGCATATTTTTCCTTGAAATTTTCAGATATTTTAGATTCAATTGTGAACACAATTCTCTGAAAAATTGGAGGAAAAATATTAGACAATTAGTGGGTTTTTGCAAAATTTGGAAGTTGATACTTAATTGGAGATCTTCAGAAGTTGGAGAGACTTAAGGGCGGCAATTACTTGCAGAAAAAAATATGTAAACTTTATGGTTGTCACTGCAGAGGATAAAATAAGCTATTTCATCGCATCACTACAAGAGTGAACATAATCTGAAACACAAATTGCTCATAGAGTAACCCCTAATCACCCCCCCCCCCCCCCCCCCTGGGGTATAAACCCCTGGAGTAAATTCTCTGTGGTTCAAGTCAAAATAGGTTCATACACTATCATTTTGAGTGAGAAAGAAAATCTACCGCACCCAGTATCTACTTTTATGCTTGGGAGATAGCTGATCTTTCATTGAAATAAATTTTTACATGAATAATTATGATGATATATTTTAACTTGGTAAGTTGTAAAGATAATTTTTAGAAATGCAATTAAGTTCCCTGAAAACTTACAAGCTTACAGATTGGTATTTGCTAGTCATTGCCACTGGGTGAATATGAAAAAACAAGCAGAAGCTAAGTGAATTTGGGCTTTGAATTTACAGATTCACCACCTCTATTCCAAACTACATAGGTGTGGTACCAAGACTTGAAACAACAGAAACAAGTCAGTTGGTGAGGAAAAGTGTCAAATTCAGTTGGAGTTCCAATAAGTAAAGACCATTCTTCAGACTGGAATAAATTTTGACTGATTGAGTGTTTTGTTTATACAGGGGGTTTACATGTATTATGGAGGGTACGACTAGAAATGAAATTTAACTAGGTAGGATTTTTCACATTTTCTGCAACAGTGGAAGTATTCATGCAATGTAAAATTATTCAGCAATCTGATCAGTTACTATTTAAAAAAATAAGAAACAACCATAAATGTTGAGACATTGCAAGGAAAATGCACTTTTTCCTATGCTTTCCCTACCTACTAAAAAGGTACGATACCTGAATAAAATAGTTTTAGTGATAATCATTTAGCGAAAGGCTGCAAAACTGTCCTTGACAGTTTATAAAAATTTATTAAATTAAGACAAAAATAAAAGGATGAACGAGAAGGTCATTGAAACAACACTCAACAGTGATATATTTATTAATAAACTACTCTTTAATGTATCGCAGATGTACATCTGAATTACATATTTACAGCAAACATACATAGAAAAAATATATTTATGTACATTCAACTATGGTAGTTTACAGGTAAAAATTTAATTACGTAGTTAGGTATCACAAAGAATCCCAATCCGCATAGGATTGCAAATACATGCCAAATCAGAAAATAAAAGATAAGCAAAAAAAAAAGAAAAAAAAAAAAATAGCAAACATAATCGAAAGCAAGCTCATACTCTGGAACAAAAAAGAAATCAAAGAGGGAACCAACAAACAAACACATGGCCTAGCCTATTCCATGGCTTTAGCATGGTAAATTTGAAAATAGGGCAAATATAATCAACCGCATTTGAACAAAAGACGTTCTATCTACTTCAAGAGTTCTGAAAAATGACTTCAGTGCAATAGCTTTGGAATTATGATGTATTGACAGCCGAAGTGCGAAACAACATGTCTTGGTTTGCGACATTGCTGACTTCCTGTCATTCTTTATTTTCCTTTCGGAAAACTAGTCAGCGTAATTTCTCAATTTAATTGATGTTGGTTTGGTCTCCTTTTAAAAAATAAAACAGGAACTGGGATTTCGGAACGCCACAACTGATACGTTCTTTCTTGAATCTCTTCTTTCTGCAGACAGACTCACTTTTTTATGAATGCGTCCACTTTGTGATAAGTGAGAGTAAATGCTTGATACGCAACAAAATACTGAGCTTCATCAATACATGTGAACACCTCAATCTTCTACTTTATTCCAGTCATTTAAATTTAAATTACTTTGGTTAACTGGAATCATATCAGTGGAAATTAAAATTGGTGATACTATGTTAAAAATCCTACATAAAAATTAATGTGGAGCCAGGCTCACACAAACAGGATTAGGAATCCATTTCAAAACTTTGATTCATATTTTTCAAGGAGAAATGATTTACTTAACCCAAAGAAAACTCTGATCCTCTTTTACATTGTCATGGGCATTTAAGGTATCCAAATGCATTGTGATGAACTCGCTATTGCACGTCCCGTGAATGGAGGAAAAATCCAGTTACATTAATGAATAATATTACAATGATACATATCATCACTGAAAACTTGAGTTAGTTTTGTCTTCATTAATAAAGTGCATAGTACAAATATTAAGCTGTTGGAGAGACATTACTATTCATTTGCCATACTTGGGGAGGGGGGGGGGGAAGAAAAAAAAATTATACACAATAGCTATACAATTCAATGGACCAAGAAGCAGATTACTAAATTAAGCTCCAGAACTATCATGCCCTGTCAAAATTTTGCATGAAGTACGATGGGTATATATTCATTCAACTTGTTATTATTATTAATTCAACTTGTAAGTGGGAGAATGACGGTTTTCGTCTACGTTGATTAGCACTTCCCGTTCACAATAAAACCAGAGTCCACTAAAGAAATAAACAGATTTCCGTATGTTTTACAATGCAAGAATATTCCTATGCATTAACTTTTTTTTGACAAGATTAAAGGTATCTTTGATATGGAGAAAATCGAAATTCTTGCACAACTGAGATCTTGTTATTTGCCTGATAAATAAGTTGATATCACTGCTTGATTTGTTCTACATTGATTTTGGTTTTTTGTGAGTGGGAAGTTTTAATTACTTGTTCATACTGTTTCATCCAGAAAATATATTTCTCATTTATAAGATAATCTTGAAGGTTTCCGACATGTTTAATAGGTTCTACTTGAGTATACATGTTCAGTATCAAGTGCTCAATTTCTTATCTTGTTTAAAGGTCCATTTGATTGTATTATAAAAAAATCAAGTGATCAGTTCACAATGGATCTACTGGTGTCTTCATACATTATTATTATCTACGTGCAAATATTGCTATTTATCTTAGTCAGAGGGACTTGAAAACCAATAAAGAGGGATCATTTCATAATGCAAAATGAAAAAAAAGTTAGGTGCATTTTAGAATAACTTAATTTGCAATTTACTCTGGGTATGATGCAACAATTGCACACCAAAAAAATGTAACTGACAAATGGGATTTCATAAAAATCTAACAGAAATAAAATGTCTTATAGTCTGTAATATACAATAGCCCATTCTCACTATACACATAATATTGATATTATATAATGTTACAATCTTTCCTGGTGGGAATGGAGAAGAGGAGGGGGGGGGAGGTCAAAGTAAAATTAAAAGAGATAATTCAATAAAAAAAAAAAAAATTACACTACAAGGGCCTTTCTCAGAAAATTCAGTTAATCAAAGAAAAAAAAAGTAATACCTGATCGAGCTTGCAAATGATTTAAAAAATGAACGAATAAAAAAAAAAAAAAAAAGAATAAGAAAAAAATGAGAAAAGGAGAATTCATAAAAACTGTGATCTGAAAGTATACGCTTGTTTTGATTAATAAGACTAAAAAAACTAACAAAAACACAACTGTCACCCCACTGTAAATCTAAGTATGATAATTGTTATGAAATAGCAGCAGAAGAAACTGAAATCTGATTCCAATTCTTTTAATTGCTATTTCTCTTCAAAGAGATCAACTTGTTGTGCACTTGACGGAAAACTTAAAAAGTAAAGAAGATATATTAAATGTATTGTAATTCCAATAATTATGATTATTAGACGTTTGATCTGTATTTTAAAATTCCCTTAAATGAGGTAATTTAAAAATAAGGAAGCAATTTTTTCATCTTAACAGAGCTCATTAGAGCAATCAGGATTTGACAGCAGGGTGGTTTAAAAATTGCACAAACAAAGAATTTCCCTGATGTTCCTACCATGAATTTTCTTTGGTTAACCTCAAATTGACTAGACGAATGCATCTGCTATTTCTTTGAAATTATCAAATTTTTACATTCCAGGGAAAACTGAGCAATTCACAGGAACAAATTCTTGAAATAAAAAAATTCATAAGATGCTGTTATTGAAGAATTAACAACCTATCTTAATCACTTAAACTCAGCAGAGAGGAATTCACTGACCTTGACACAATGATTCAAGTATAATAAACTGACAAACTCAGTTGGAATTCCGATAGAAAAATACAGCCAAGATGGGGGAAAAAGATCGATGCAAGGTACAGTTTGTGATGCAAAAGTAAATGATAAAGGGATTCACTGAGCCCTGCAACAGCAATTCAAATAGGGTCCCCCTAATTCTCCAATTTTCGGTAGAAACGATTGATGATTGAACAGCACTTCTATTTTACCTCAGAAAAATTAGTGAGGAAGTGCCAAGCGTGATTCATTAAGGCATGTAGTAATAAGTTTCTTATAAATACGTGTAAATTGTAACTTAACATTTAATGCGCCCGTTGCAAACAGTGCTAGCGCAAAAATAAGAGTTGTTTTCTATAGATAATGCCTCAAAAATTACGATGAGCGCATTGGCAAAGTCTGAAATGCACTCATAACTTCACAATCTGCAAAAGAAATTTGCGCTTTTTTGAGCTTCCTGCTTCAAAATTGATTCTACGGAACAGGTGAACATTTTGTTAAAGGAGTCGCTCCATCGTCGGCAATATTCATCATGGCCGATGCTTCTGCGGTTCCGCGCATAATTCAAGGCAAGTGCCAGGTCAATCAAGGTGGGCGAGGAAAATATGAACATACATACGTCGATTGTTACCTGGTCTTATCCTGGTCAGGTGTTGTCTCGTCCCATCACACATGTTTTGGCAGATTGGCGTTGGCCAAGATGAATATTGCCGACGATGGAACGACTCCTTTAACAAAATGTTCACCTGTGCTGTAGTATTGTTTTTGAAGCAGAAAGCTCAAAAAACTGCAAATTTCTTATGCATATTGTGAAGTTATGAGTGCATTTCAGACTTTGTCAATGCGCTCATCGTGATTTTTGAAGCATTATCTGTAAGAAACAACTCTTAGTTTGGCTCTAGCAAAGGTTTGCAACAGGCCCGTTGAGGATATCACAAATTCAATATTAGGTCTGTAAAATTTAAAAAAAGGAAAGTCTCGATGATGAAAGAGGCGCCAAACAAATGCTTGTAAGTGTTGATTATAAATCATTAGTGCTTGGATCTGCTAATTATTATAACAATGGATATGCTACTTAATATTAAAAATAATTCTCTAATTTAGTATGTATCACATAAGTTGAAAAAAAGAATTATGCTTTCTCGAGACTCATTGTTTAGAAGTATGTACTGACATGAGTAAGAAAACAAATAACAGTTCTCAAAGTTTAAAATAAATAATAAGATATACTGATTTAGTTCGAAGAGAGTGTAAAATTAAACACAGACGCCTGATAATGCATGTAAATTAGGAACAGATAACTAGAATTATGGGACTGCTTGTGGTTGGAAACTTCATTATAAAGTACCATTACTTACTCGATAAAACTTAAATTATGCTTCATCCTTTGCAAGTCCAATCACTAATCGTGCTTCAGTTTTTAAAGAACAGCAAGCATGTTTTATTCCAATTGATTCAGTCACAACTTGGTAAACAAGTGTAAAATGTGCAATTAAAACATCAACTTGAGAATTTTTCTGTCTGAAAAATACACATCAAGGTGTACTTGTAACACCTAGCACCGAAGATGAATTCTCATAGGAATATCATGAAGGTATCGAACAAATTTTGATAATTTACAGATTTCGCTCCTGCCGGAATTTCCTTCAATTGGATTTTTGAGTTGTTATGGTGATAAATTTGAGAATATCTTCAATTAATCAAGTTAGAGATGCTGGTACCCTTATGATTGTGAAACTTGACAGTAATTCTTCAGAAAAATTCTGGCGATGATAACTGAGTTAACGATGCATGATAAGACAGAACACTTCGATTCTCATTTAAATGAGGAAAGGATGCAAAATCTCTTCAACATCGATGCACCCTTAAGTTGTACTTTTTTGGTTTATCACGTTTTAAATGCCTACAGGAAATTGAACTTTTACAAGCGGGCAAAATCTTAGAAGAATGAAGCGACTCTTCTGACTCTGACTCTCATGGCCAATTAACAGATGCTTATTATGATAGGCTAATGATGAGATTGCTGACAAAGGCCATACCTAGAACTAATTATTAAGCTTATCATGCAAAGTCTAAAAGTGCAAAATTTGGCAACTTCCTAAATATAAAGTACATCTTCTCAACATTAAAATCAAAGGCTGATGAGCTTAAAAATCTTGTTTGTTAAAAAAATTACCTTACATTAACACTGGTTCACAATTAAAAACATGCTCAATACAGATCGATTTTTTTTGTTATTTGTTTGCGGCACATATGACATATCTTGAGAGTAAGCGAGCACTTTTTGCAAGAGCCATGTCCACACAGAAACGCGACGTTTCGTTTTCGCTCCATACAGATAGAGCAAAGCTGAGCTTCTTCGATCTCCGTCATTTTATCCTCTAGGTAGCGCATCCTCTCAGCACTTGAGTGTCTGGATCGACAAGCTATCGTACGCCCGTCTGGAAAAAAAATATTGACAAATTTTATTCATGTATGTTTAAAGTTTATGATTTACTCTGTGGAGAGTTTCGCATGCATACGTGACAAGTTTGTTGATAACTTTATGTATTTACTGCTCATTCATGCAGATAATCAAATTCAACTTAATCAAACCATGTGAAAATTTTCAAAATAAATGATACTCTTCAAATCTATGTTTCGATAATCAATATATCATTTTTCATCCTTGCTTTGAATACAAAATTATACTGTCTTCATGATTCTCTTTTGTGTACTCTTTATTGCGACATTATGTTGATGTGGACGCAAGTTGAGGATCATACAATCATAGGTAAGGTCATGTCATGACACTCCATTGCACAAAGTATTCTCACTATAGAGAGAGAAGTCTCATAAAAAGTATAATTTCCCTCTTAGAGTTATGCTGGTGGGCGCAAAACTAGTTTTGTCCAATCAGAGAGCAACTGTAGACGCGTTTTGGGTCTTATTGGACACATTATCAAAGTGGCTTTCTGATTTTTTGCTTCCAGTGACAGAGAGGTTTGCGGAGGTGCTGGCCGGCACGCCATCTATTGAGCAATTATCCGAACAGCACCGCATTAAACCTGGCAAGCATGCTGTATCTAATCTTCTTAGGCTTCGTATGTTGATATGAAATTCTTAAGATATTGAACAGGCTTAAGATCACTTTTCAAAAGTTCTCAAGTTTCCCATTTAAGGTGAAACCACAGCGGTAAGTAGTAAGAAATTTTTCTGCGCAGAGGGCGCCACCACTGTGTTATGATTTTTTGGTTCACGCCATTAGAGTCCATACAGCTCCACGTGAGTCCTAGTGCTTTATGGAAATTAAAGGAATTTTTGTTGAAATCAAAGGGTCATAAGTTCTAGTTGTAACATTCTTCTTCTTATTGACATTAAGAAGGATGGGAAAAGTAATTTCTGAAACTCAGTAACTTGATGCCAGAAAAAAGTAGGGTCAAGCATAATGACCTTGATGCGACCAATCATGAGTGATTGCTCTCAACAGATGCAGATGTCGTTCTTTCACCAAGGGGTTTCCCTTTCGAGCTTACAGACATCCCATAGGAGAAACTGGCATCAAGTTTTAGCTTCTATTATTAAAGTTTCAATGCGCATGTTCGTTTCTTAACATTCCAGACATATGCTGCTAGAACTTATGAGTCTTAGAATTTAATATATCTATTGTGATATTTGAATAATCACTGATTTCGGAGCCAGATTTTAGCAGCATGACGTAGTGGATTTTTTCAGAACTAATGCTCACCAGTGCTGAAGATTAACCTTAAGATAGAAGACTGAAGTAAAAAGAGAATAAATAATTTGTCATGAACAAACATAAACTTGCTGTGTCCTCCAAAAAAAGAAAAGTGTTTTTTGCTTTAAATTATCTGACTGAATACCAAAAGAATGTTAGAAACAACAGTTGGAGGAAGCGAATAAAGTAGGCAACAGCTTGGATGTTGAAAAGTGGACTGATGGAAACTTTTTTAAGTGGCATTGTCTGTTTGAGTTTCATATCATTCTTATTCCAGTTATTTTACCCTCACAACTGGTCGACACTTTTACATTGGCCTTCCAGAATGCGTCTGCAAATTGTATCAGTCATCAAGTTCTTTCAGAATTTCAATGATGAAATCCAGTTATTGCCTCCGTGAAAGCAGAAAGAATTTAAAGAGCTCTTCGTTAAGTCTACATAATTCAGTGGCTTTAACCAAAAATGATGAATGTGATAAAATTTTAAACATAATAATTTTCATGGAATAAATAAAAGATAGAAAAAGATGCAGAAAAAAGGCAACATCTGTATTTCTTAAAACCCGAGCATCAAGGCTGGTGCAAGTTGGACATGAATTTTGCATCTCTGTCACTCATTCAGCGATGTTTACATAGGTTGATTGTGATAGAAACGCGACATCAGGAATCATGGTATTGCTACCCATTTCCCCTTTTAAAAACTAAAAAAATCATTAATATATACCTTGTGAGAGTCTTTTTGATATGATTACTCCACACTTCAAACACTTCTTCATACGAGACGAGCAGTCTTCACAAGCGATCCGATGACCACACGGTTCAAAGAGAATGTTTTCCTTGTTCAACTCCGAGCAAACAGTACACTCTACAGGAATACTGCGAGGCGGCTCAACTTCTGATTCTGAGGCATTCAATAATTCGTTCAAAGCATCTTCAGCAACCTCAGTCTTCAAAAACGCTGCATCAAAGTTATTGGAACTAGGCGACATTAGTTCGGTGCTTGGTTGCCGTGGTTCAACACTGAAAGAGAGAGATTCAATTAAGATGTAAAAATGAGAGAACGTGATCATTGTAAAGGGGGTGAAGTAAAATAACATAATAATGGCTAGCATATCACTTCTCAGCACAACTAAGGGAGGAGGGTAGTGAGGAAACATTTCAAAATAACGTCTCTTGCAACAAAATGGAACTTTTCTTGGGTTTTTTTTTAATAGAATGATGAGGTATGAAAAATTTTTCAAGGTTAGGTATTTCGCAGGGAAAGTGAGGCAAATAATTATGTTACACTGTCCAGAAAGTATTTCAACTGAATAGGATTAAAATGTCTAATCACGGCATACATACAAAAAAAGAGGTAGATTTAAGTGAACTGATCGGGTAAAAATGATATGAATATTATGATTATATATTATGATGATTTTTTTTACATATAGATAAAAATTGTGCAAAGTGGGAGAAACTAAGAGAGCTGGCAAAAAATAGATGTAGGTAGGGTAATCACCTTTGCGATGAGGTAACATAATGCTTCAAGATATCCACCATTGGGGTGTCTGCTATCAGATCTAATCCAGTTTTTCCCTTTTTGTTAGGCTTCTCCAAAGGACATCCTTCTTGAACAAGGTAACAGGCAATAGCGAGGGCCACCGGATGACCGATAGACCTTCCGCCAAGTTGTTGATAAATCTAATGGGAAGAAAAAAGGATTGAAAAATCTGTGAATCATTTGGTTGTCTTCTACCTGAAGAAACATATCTCAATTGGGCTATTTCAGTATTTTTTACGGACATTTTGTTTTTTTAGAAAGACCGTCATATCAATATGTCTGAAATTTCCAATGACTTTTCTTCTTACTTGCAAGAAATGACACTTAAAATTTCAGACCACTTCGTACAATGATGCTCTCATGAAAAATAAAAAGTACGTAGAAATACTACAATAGTCTGGACAATTTCTTTGACAATTTAGCAAATATTCTGAATTATGAACAGGGGCAAAGTGATTGATGATTCTTACAGCAAATCATGGAGGGCCATCCAAGTGTTACTTTGTACTTCTGCGTTTTCTTGCCGATATTTGAGTGTCCTCAAATACCAGTCACCTCAGGGGATTGAACCCGGGACCTCAGAGTTGGCAGCAAACTGCCTTGACCACTACACCACTGAGGCTGACTTTGAGAAATAAAAAGATTTCATTTTGAAGTTTTGGGCGATTTTAGAGCTGAAGGATGGAGCCTCAATAGATTGATATTGATGATCAATCAATTACATTTTTTTCGGCTGTGTTTTTCACTTGATTTTCAGCCTAATTAACTTCAAAATTTAATACTATACTTCTTGAAAATAGGTTTGCATCCAATTCATTTTAATTTTTCTGAATTAATTCAAAAACTTAGAGATACATTAAAACCTTGATTACTCGATAAATCATCCTAGAAGCCTGAGCCAGATGCTGAAAACGCTGGATAGTCAAAAGTAGGTAAAAATACAAAAACTATGTACAGAAAACGAAGACAATTAAGAAACAACAAGAAAAATAACTTATAAGCAAGCTTTATTGTTGCTTTGGATGACTAGAGCACCGGATAAGTGATGAGGAGATAATAAAGGTATTGTGATAATGAATCAAAATAGTATTAATATGAAGAACTAGTTACGTTGGATCCACTTGATATCAAAAGCCTTTAAGTCCGAAAACTTCAATTTTTAAAATCATGTATTGCAGCCTAACAAGAGAAAAAAGGTAAGAAATAACAAAAAAAAGGAAGAGTTGCAGACCAACTTACACCAAATATTGTCGGAGATTCAAGCTCACTAATTTTCCCAACCATAGAGGAGCGTTTGATGAGTGCTAAATGCAGAGCTGTATCACCGTCTTCATCCTCAACCATGATATCAGCTCCCATCGAGACTAACAACTCAACCACAGAACAATGACCCTGAAATTTTTAAACTGTTGGTTAAAAAGAGTTGTTGTTGTTTGTTTAGGTTGATTGTCCTAATTCCGCCTTGCGGATAAACAGCCACTTACAAAAGGGCGGGATCACACACTAACTGATCATTTCCCTAGAGAATAAACAAAGTAGGAGATAGATAAACAATGGGTGGCATTTCTCCTAAGTTTGTGACAATGAGTCAATTGAAATGGACATAAAACAGCTGATACCTTTCAAGAAATAGATGAATAACTACCAGAGGTGCAATGGTTGGTCATCTTGGCTACGATTCTTGAAATCTCTGATTGGCTCAAGGCTTCAAATATTCCTACCAAAACAGTACCAAGTCTGGTTTGCTTTCACCCTGCATCCTTCGTTCCACCTGCTGTTTTAAATTTTGCAAAGAAATGATTTCAAGTGCTCTCCAAAAAGTGACCATACTCGATCTTACCCAGGAAACTAACATTAACCTTTTTGGTTAGTTTTTACTTTATGACCAAGGAAAGTTGGATCCCTTAAAATTAAAACAAGCGTAGGGTGGAGGATTCTCTCAGTTACGCCTCAACTTTTAGAGCTTTTTTGAGCTTGGGAGTTTGTTTCAGAGAAAACCAGTGGTACAATCATGGTTCTTGTGAAATTTTACATGAGATAAAGGACTTAAATTGCAAATTACTGACGCATGGGAGAGCTCAATTGGACCCATCATCAGTACAGTACAGCCTCCTGACTTCCTCCTACCAACCTAAGGCCTTGTCCACACGAGCGCGGTTCGCGGAACTTAGTTCGAGGAACTTGTTCCCAGAACAAGTTTTAGCTGAGCTGAAAATTTATTCCTCCTAAACCCGGAACTTCCCCCGTACTCTGGGCTTCTACATATGTTTCTTTTGATGTGAATTTGTTTGTATTTGTTTTTTACGTCGTTTACATGTCTTGACATTTATTTTTGTTACTTTGGCGGCCGTAATAATCTATTATTTTGCAATAATTGTATAGTTTTATTGAAGTTCCCGTTCCAGTTGGAGCGAACTCGTGTGGACAGCATCCCTCCTTTCAAGGAACAATTTCCGGGAACTGAGCAGTTCGTCGAATAAGTTCCTCGAACCACGCTTGTGTGGACAGGGCCTAAAGCTTTAACTCTCTGAAATGAGAATTTCACTTTTATACTGAATTTCAAAGCACTTCGGTAGAATCACCAATAGTCTATCCAGATAATAATAGATTGGGTTCATACCTGAGAGACAGCTAATAAAAGAGGGGTTTGCTTCCTATTATTACGGATATTGACAACAGCATGACCTTGCGAAATCAAAGTTTCAGTAACAGCGGTATGACCATTTAAAGCTGCAAGATGTAAAGCTGCAAAACCGTCATCTTTTCTAGCATCAACCATTTGTCTTGCAAAGGTGAGAACCCTCTCTGTGACACTGGAAATTAGACATGAACCAAATTAAGGCAATAGTTCTTACAGATGCAAAATAAACAGCAAAATCAAAATGTATGACTCATAATTCACATAAAGAATGGTACAGAGACAGATAACCTAACCTAGATATTCATTCAAGAGCATTTTAGATTTTGAATACAACTTCAAACCCTCTTATTCCAGGATCAGTTTATTCAAGACTTAATTCAGACTTCCTTTTGGAAAAGGAGAAGAGTTATGAAAAATTGAATATTGAATTATTTGTTCTCCTGCAAATATAAGAATTTTAAAAAAGTTTTGGCCAAAGCTAACGAAGGAATCTCAAAAATTGACAGGAACTATATGTTCTACAATGTAAATGAATAACTTGGCCGTTAAGTAACTTTTGTAGGAAAAGAATAATCATATTGAATGTATCCATGATAGCTAGAGGCCTAGCATTTTATGTGTAAGCTAATGAAGATAAGGTTGCCCTAGAAGGGCCTTCAGCTCTTAAAACTAATGGCCCAATATTTAAGTAAAGCGTACATTCTAGTCAACATGAGATGATGACTAGTCTATTATTTATTCATTTTATTTCACCTAGCTATTTGCAATAATGTTCAATAATGTATTAAGGTTTGAAAATTGAAAACTCTTAGTTTAATTCTGAAAAAAGCGCAACTACATTTTAGAAAATTCGTTTCTAATATTCTGCCGTGAAACTCAATTTTACAAATTTTGTATATTATTGCGTCCCCTGAAAAAAAAAAAAAAAAAAAAAAAAAAAAAAAAAAAAATTCCCTGCGAGGAAAGGTCTCTCTTGAATTTGTAACAAAAAAACATGGCGTACGGAAATTTCCCATTTAAAAAATAGAGGACGACAAAAAATAAATGTACTAACTAGTTATTCCCTTTGAGCGCAGCATGATGAAGAACGTTGAACCCACGGTTATTTTGAAGAGTATAATCAATACCAGGAGTATCACACAGCATATCAATGATGTTGAAATTATCCTTTCCAATGGCATCATGTAAGGCTGTGTCTCCATATGAGTCCTGAAAGTTAAAAATTAAAATGTTATCGATGATGACAAAAAAGTTGCCGATGTAACAACAGTTAAAGTAATATTTTTGGGTTAGGGACAATAATCATGCTCCATACATTCTTGGGGGAAAAAAAGTATAAGTTAATAGAGGTCAAACTGTAATGATTTTGTTTTAGTCAACAGGATGTCTACAGACTTGGCAGGAAAAGATTCCCTCACTCTTCTAGGTTTTCCCTGACCGATATAATAAAGTTCTTCAACTTTTATAACCAATTTACACCTGTGGAACTGGAAATGAAAAATATTTGGCATTGATTTCACTGCAAATGACAGAAACACGCGAAGCAGTCTACTTCAGATTATTAATTAGTCAATCAACAAAAATTGCAATTTTAATTGAAAATTATTTCTATATTCTCTTTTCAGATTGTAACTCCAAGCATTGAGCTTGGAACCAGGCTAATACTCAGTTTGATTGTGTGTACGGTGCTGACGGTTTTTCAAATTTTAAGTTCCAAGAGTAATCAAAATTGTTGAAGTTAAAGATTACAAAAGGAAAATATAATTTTGAAAATTTATCAGAATGTACTGAAGAAAATAAACATTCATGAGAAAGAAACTTAATAGGTGCCTGTGGCACGCATTCCAACAATCCGACTGCCTGGCAGTCGATTTCCCAGATGCGTTTCCATGCAAAAATGCTGACTTTGACCAATTGCCTCACTGTTCATCGCTGCAATTAGCACTGAAAATTAAAGTCAACAAAAATTTCAGTCTTTTTTTTCAAATTCCCTGACTTAACCCTGATTTTCCTTGCTTGATGATGTTCTCCGATAATTTTCTGTTTCCAAGATTTTTCAGACTCCGAGACACCTTGGGTTCAAATAATTGGATGCTAGATCAACTGCTTTTATTCAATTTTAGCCAAAGAAACGACTTTATAAGAATAAAATAAACAACAGAAGATTAATTTTTATACCTGGAGGTTGACGTTGGCATTATGTCTCAACAGAACACGGACACAGTGAGGATGCTGTTTGTTCACAGCCACATGCAAAGCTGTACACTGACTTTTATTGACTGTATTAATATTTGCTCCATGTTCTAGCAACAATTTCATTATCTCAGGTTGATTTCTGAATGAAGGATAAAACATAATTAGAAAAATGGAGCATTTGATTAGAATTTAAATATCTTATTCAAGTGGTGATGGAAAATCACACACTTCCTAATACCACAACTGCTATATACTACCTGAATGATATTTGAAAAAATATAAATGATTTGTAGCTCAACGACCATGTTTTCAGTTTTATTTTGATTATAAAAGCAGGAATATGAAAAGTCAAAAGCTAGAGGATGCATTTGAGGATGCTGATCATCTTTAAAACTAATGAAAAATCATTTTAAAGAGCACCAATTTAACCTTCTACACACAGTGATGGCAAAATATTAATCATTATTTGCTGGGCTACCACGATTAGGGGCCCTTTAATAATTTCACATTGAACACAAATAACGCAACAAAAATTACTGAAATTGACTCCCAACTAAGATATTAACACTATTATTCAGTATTGGTTACAAAAAAATTGAATTTCCTGCTCACAAGAAAAACCAGAGTTTACTTGCCTTAAATCGCACACCACAATGATTTTGGCAGGCATCTTCATGAACAGTGTTTCTTCCCCACCCTGTGTTGTTTGAACAGTAAAGAACATGCAATAACTGAGCCGAAGCGCCAAAACTGAGGCTATCGTATTTTCACGCTACAAAAACTGTCACCTTAACATTTAATGAGCAAATTAACTCAAGTAGATCATGGTTTTTTTCTTCTTTAAATAGGAAAGAATTGCCCCGCAAAATTTTGAGAGAGCTTTAATTCAATTCATACCCAAACGCAGAATAGTGTAAGGCAGTGTCCCCTTCATTGTCCGCCATTTCAACAGAGGCCCCAGATGTGAGGAGGTAACAAACGAGTTTCATGTGTCCTTGATGGCAAGCAACTTGAAGACATGTTTTTCCATCACTTTGACAATCGACCTGAAATATTTTAATGCACATGCATGAAATGATCGATCACCAAAAAGGGATTTTACCTTGAGTCATAGTCTTGCAAAAACAGCCGGTGGACAATTCATTTTTGCTGGAACTCATTCTGGTTGAAAATGAGTTTGCGATTATCTCGAAACGTTGCGATTTCTTTCTCACAGGCTTATTTTTTTGCCTAAATCTTTGCTCTTTGAATATTTTGGCGCTCCCTTTCCCTGAATTAAGCTGTTATTTTACTGTATTTTTAGGCCAGTTAAGTTGTTCTTTGATCTAAAATTTTCTTTACGTAATTCTACTGAAAGAATCACAAGGTGCATTTGACAATGATTGTGACGTTGCGTGCAGTTTTAAAGAATGTTTCTCTTTTGAGGGCAGTGATTACAGGTTGTTTAAGATCAGCGTTTTATAAAGGCTGTTTCCTCGACTTAGACCAAAAAAATTCTGCTACTTCAATTTCTTAAGAAATGAAAGAAGTAGCTATGATACTTATCTGACTGATTGTAGTTGGTTTTTTTCCCTTTTTTTTTTCTTTTTCCAATTTTCATATAGCTCTCAGGGCTAATCTTGTGCTTAACTTCCTAGTCTTCTTACACTCAGCCCTAGGTGGTCATCTAACTCAGATCACCTGGGTGGGAATAAAACTAGGAAGCTTCTAATGATAGAATCCTGCTTAAACACTATTTGACAAAATGAACCTATCAGGAAAAATGTAAAAGGGACAATGTTCCGGCTACTCAAAATCTTTGTTTTTCGTACTTCATATTTCGTCTCCAATTGACATTAGGATTTGATTATAGCATTCCTTTAAATCCAAATGACAAAATTTACGCTGAATTCATCTGTAAAGTACACACACTCTTCCTCAAAAGACTGAATATACTTAGTTTTGTGCTGTGTTGTGATATGGAATTGAGCGTTGTACAGCAAGCCATTCATACTTAATTCAGATGATTAAATTTGCATTATTTTAAGACAACCCTCAAAGCAAAAAGAAAATTACAAATTCCATATTTCCCTCTTCTTGTATTATTTTTCCTTCCATCCTTCCTTACCTTGTCAGGGTGTTTGACGATAAAATCTCGTATGACACTAATGTTGCCCTGAGCAGCTTCTCGGACAAGCTTGTCTGCTTTCGTCACATCCAGATGACAGTCATGCATCCCGGACAACAATGATGTTAATGGACCTGCAATATTGAAAATGTGAATGGTTAATTAACTATAAAGCACGGTATACCGGCAATTTTTAAAATTTTCTTTTTGAATAAAACAATGAATACGGGTAGTTTCTTTGATGTCTAGTTGTGCTGTTTCAGGCATCCCTTAACATTGTCTGGTTTGGGTTTCGGAGGCAATAGGTGGCCTAACTCTTCTAACCTAACTTTTGTTTTTCTTGTGAGTGGCAGATTGAAATTTTTCATAACAAATCTTACTCTATAGTTTAAAATCATAAGGGTGCCGTGTCACGCTGAGGGTGTCACGCTGAGGGTGTAATGCTAATCATGTCACAAACCGGTTTCTCCTCCATTCCCCGCTCCCCTCCTGCCGTGCACGCTCACATACTTCCTGCCGTCTCCAAACCGGGTTTTCCCTAACTCTGAATGATCTTTTAACGATCTCACGATATCTGCTAATTAGAGGCGCGAAGCGCCTCTGGGGGGTTGGACGGCGGAGCAGCCAGGGGGCGCAGTCCCCTAGTGTTAAATAAAAACGCTAATATCTTGATACAAAGTGAATTTCTATGATTGCCTTTGCGCAAATTGCGTCGTACCCAACATTTTGAGGAGGAAACACATATCAGAATGTTTAAATTTATACTTGGTCTAGCGGTTCATTCTAGAGATTGATGACGATTCAGTAATGAAAAAGTGATAGAACCCTTTCTGAACTAAGCACATATTTTCAAATATGATTTTTGAGAGCAAAAAGGGAAACTGTTAAAGGAGGCAATGCTTGAAAATAATTTTTTTAAAAAAAAGAACAAGCCATTACCTATTGGCAGTTGATTTTTCTAGAGCTACTTTCACTGATGATAGAGTTTTACTAGTTGCTGGATGCTAGTTAGGTCTAACTTTTGTCTTTGTGAAGAAACTATTCTCATTTGGTTACACAGCTAAGGAATTACATTGTTTCCAGTTTGTCACAAATGCATATTCTAAAATATAAATTGAGAGTAAAACGACTTACTGCTGTGATTACTACGAGGTGCAATGGCAGCTAAGGTATTGTTCAACTCAGTTGTAGATCCTGGCACAAGTGACACATTCAAAGGGTTCAAAGTCCATGTTTGACCATCAACCAAGACTCGGAGATCACCATCAGCATACAATTTAATCACTTTTCCTAACTTTCCAGCAGCCTGAAAATAAATTTAACCAACTTAGAATCCAAGATAATGTTTCCCAGGATAAAAAGGCTGATCTACATTGACGCAATCATATCATTTTAGCCCAATGAAAGGGAAAGATCTCTATATAATTTTCGATGATGGCATTTTTTGGAGGTTTTTAAGTTGACTTACAAACATCTAAGGGTGTTCGTTTGTTATTCAAACACATTAATTTGCAAACTGATTTAAGTCTGATAAAATGATTGTACTTTGTCCATTATCATTTTTGCAAGCCTTCCTTCTTTCACATTATGTTACCCTTCAACGCTATGCTGCCATACATATCGATACTGTTTTAATTATTTCTTCAAAATTTAGCACATACTTCCATGAACATTTTAGGGATTGATTTAGACGACAAAAGAAATATTAGGTAATATTTTCAAGTGATTCTGTTCATTAATTTTCTGTAAAAAATTTGACAAGTTTGGCAACATGGTGCCTAGGCCCAAATGACGCTTGTAATACTTTGTTCGGAAGATGGCGATTCCTTTCACTTTCTACTTCTTCCACGCATTCCATCTCTGTTGCTTCTATTTAAAGAGCAATACCTAAGTTGAAGCAGTCCTAAATGAGCTTAGACATTTTTTTAAGTACATTTAAATTTTTTTGCTCAACATCTCGACAGCTGATAAGCATATAAAATCCAAAGAAAGTTTTATACATTTGCCATGACTTCGATCCATTCTCCATGACCTCTTTGCAGCTCCTTCATTTTCTGAACATCTTCCGTTAGTTTGACTATATCGCCCGGAGCAAATGTGTTATTGATTTTGGTAAGAGCTCCTGCATGGAATGTCCATCGATTGTTACAACCTTCATACTGAACTCGAATGTCACCTCTGTCGGTCACCCGGTGAACAATTCCAATTTTTCCAATATACTGAAATAAATCAAGAAAAAACCTTTGTTTATTAAGCATAACTTAAACTTTGAATCTTAGTATATTATTTATTTCTTTATACTTCCTCCCGTATAAAACTTCGAGGTGAATGATTTTTTTGGTCCTTGGAAAGGGATAAATAAGAACAAAAAAAAAAAAAGAGAACAGATCTCCTTGACCTTGCTCATTGTGTTTCGACTGATCATCGAAAAGATTAATTTGTCAGTATTATCTTCTTCTAAAAATTAAGAAAGAAAGAAAGTGTCATTATTGTCAAAAGAGAATTCAAATACTAAAATTTGACAAATCAATCTGGAGTCCATGCCGCTCAAAGAAAAGATCTACAGCTTTACCTGCATCACCATGAAAAGAAATGGATGCATTCTCATGGCCAGTAAGGTTATATTAAAAGAATGCAAATAATTTTCATAGATTTAAATGACAAAAGTGGTGATCTTTTAGCAGTATCTGATAACAATGATAGCCAGAGCGTTGTCGAAATGAAATGAAATCGGCTGTCTGAAATGAATAGCCACAGGCACTAGTCAAAAATTTACCTCTGCCATCCTTGGATTCCAGCCTCCATGCCCTTCTTGCATTCCTTTCAAAGTATCAATATCCATTAAGACTTTCACTTTGTCTCCAACATTAAAAGTTAAATGTCTTTGTCCTTCCGGCAGAGTTGGTACTGCTGGAATGTTTTCGATTGTTTCAGCAGCTTTCCCTACAGATGAGAGAACCAAAATAATGATACAGAACATAAAAAGTGCAAATATTGGCAATCTTATTACCTGCTATTGAAAGAAAAAATGATTGCAAGAGTCGAAAGTGCGTATTTTGGATTGTGGGGTTGCAAATCTTCGCACATGTTTTGTTTTATTTTGACAATAGCTAATTGACAGTTTTTCTTGAAAATTGCTTCATCCATTCAAAAAAATTCACAGATTACGTTGAGGAATTAATATGTTAGTTTTTGTCTAAGAGAACTAAAATATGATCAAATTTTAGAAATTATCAATTGGTCTGGGGAATTAGTTTGATTTTGTGTGAGAAGTTTGGAGCTAAGTCTAAGACCAAAGATCGAGCGAAAAATGTCTAGAAATTCAGCCCTGGCTAAATTTAGATATTATAATTTGGTTTGATGTTCTTAAAGGCCCCCTAAGGACTGATTCCACAAGTTGACTCATTGCTGGAAACATTGCTGAAATTGCACTACCACCTAGAGCATGTGACTTACCTAAAACTGGAAGGTGTGTTTTATAATATGGTCCACCTGTTGCTTCTTGCACATACTTCAGGTCAACTTTGCCCTTGTGACCCAATCGATAAACATTTGTAGAGCCAGTGCTCCAGGTAACATTTGCTACCGAACGACTTGATTCGTTTTCCCAACCGCGTATTCCTATGACACGCCCTAATTTGCCTAATAAGACAGAACGAACAAAAATTGAAGTAGATAAGCAAGAATAACTGAGTTGAAGACAAAACATAGACAGTATTGATGAAGATCAGGGCTGCGCTCTATTACCTGACTATTATTTATGATGAAAATCTGACTGTTTATCCATGAAATTTAATATTGTTTATATTTTTTGCAGATATAGCACTTTATATTTGTTGGTATGAGTGACTTTGCATTTCATCCTTTCTCCCATAACTTTAAATTAGGACTTTACCGTCAAAAATCCATTTACTTTGATCAAAAAAGAGTATTTGAACACTTGAGAAAGTTGGGTATTTTACAATGAATTATTATATATGCTGTGGGCTGGTCCCAATCTGCTTAGGGAAATTGCGACTCGTCCAAGAAAAAATGGGCACATTCAAACCTTCCTAGTGTTGCAGGCAGTGTGCCCGGTCCAATTGTAGCACATACAGTGGCGTGGCGTGCCTTGCGATATGTCGATAGATCTGTCATTTAAACCTATGGAAAAGGATCGATAACCAAGGTGTTCCGGCGGACACCCTAATAATCAATTTTTTACCACAGTTTCAAATGAGGAAATATAAAAAATCGATCTTTCACGCTCCGCTACTGAGCACATTCATATGAGTAGTTTCCAAAAATGTTAAAACAGGACAAGTTTTGGAAAAGGCTGTTACATTTCTAATGAAAAATTTAACTAAAAAAAACTCTGTCAATTGGTTTGCAAAAGAGAACATTTTCTGCACACATCACACTGACAGAAGTCTTGTATACAAGCCTTCCATGGACACCTGTGACATCGAGTCGGACAAGCTAATCGTCGAGGCTAGTAGGTTCATTGGCCATAGCTATTTTTCCTCTACCATGCTTTAAACCTACCTTCTCCACCATCTTGATCACCCCAATCCCAGTCTGGTCCGCGAATGACCCTTGCACCTATAAAAATGCCTCTAAGTTGTGACTTTTGACATCCTCTTCTGGGCTCCAGCTCAACTCTGAAAATTAAAAGTGCAAATCTAACATGAGAGGCATGATGTGAAGAGGAAAAGAAAAAGAAAAAAAACCTTCCAGAGTTTACCGATTTCTTCTTCGTAAATTTTTTTTTAAATTCAGCACATGCTGAAGTGTCTTCAGAATAAACAAGAGAAGGGATGACTGATGAAAATCAAAGATACCTGTACGAAAAATTCCAACACCTACACTTTATCGAAGGAACACTTCATATTATAAAAAAATGTTGGAACCAGCTTTGCAATAGATCATTGATGGGAAAATTTGCCTATTAAAAGCTTAGGAATGCAATTTTGTAAAAAAATTAGTCACCAATTTTAATAAAATTATGAAATCTACTATTAATATAATAGCTTTGCCTATGGGTAGAGAAAGATAATGAGTGGCATCGGAAAATAGTGCACTAGGGCTTACAATGTCTACATGCCACTTGGACTTCAGGAATCAAACTGGTTTCAAATTAAAAATGGGCACAGATGCTAGAATGGACCACTAGACGATGTAAGAATTTCAGCATTCTGATACATGATTCTGTAAATTTCTTTGTAGAACACGATGCGCACAACAAAAATTACTGAAATCAACTCCTTATGAAGATATTTAATGATTTTTGATGCGTGAATTCAAATCACCTGCTTATGAAAACTCCATGCTCTATGTAATTCACATTGAGAGCTATACGTCATCATGACAGTCTCTGCGAGATAAAAATCTAGCAACCCCAATATCGACGCTTTGGCTCAGCTATAGTAAATTACTTATCATTTGTACAACATATGGTGGGAAATGAACATTCCTCGATTGAGAAGCTTGCTAAAACCGTTATAGTGCGCAATTTGACTCAAGTAGAGCATTGAGTTTCTTGTGAGCGGGCCTTTCAAATTCCTCGTAACCAATGTGAAATAAAAATGTTAATATCTTCGTTAGGAGTTGATTTCGGTAATTTTTGTTGCGCGAATCATGTTCCACGTGAAATTCTGGTTAGGAATCATGTATTGGTATGCTTAAATTCGTACCTTGTCTAGTGGTCCATTATCTGTTTCTGTTATTATCATTATCTACCTCTGGGTAAATTTCAAGATGTACTCAATATTTGAAAAGGTTTGGTTCATCCCATTTTAAAAATCATTTGCTAGTACTTAAGATATAATGGGCATACAATTCGTACTTCTTGTAAGTCTAACATTTGGTTGCACAAGTCATCTAAAAAGGCTGTAACTTGGTAAATTTCAGAGAGCTCAATAATCTCTTTATCAAACAGTAATTAAATTGACAAGAGCTGTGTCTACACTGACTCTTAAATTTCTATCACCCTATCAAAGAAATACTTTTGCCACTCCTTTAGGAACAGCTTACTTAAATGTCAACCAATTAAGTTGATATTAGTCTGCAGCAAATATGCCTCCTTCATTTAAATAAACTGCAAGATCACATAAAAAATAGCTAGAGGCTAACTTACCCGTAAGAGACTGATGTGTCAAATCTTAGAAAAGTATGAGAGATATCATGCTTGTCATTCATGTAACACTGGGAGCATAGATCATAGTCATAACATTGAGCACATTTGAATCGAATGCCAGAGATACCATGAATTTTGCAACTGTTGCAAATGATGTTCTGGTGTTTCACCCCTGAAATCAAAAACAGAAATTTGTTCAGTAATATTGATACATCAGTATAGGTAGGTCGCGAAGGTTACCATCAGGGGTGCAGAAAATTCTTGGAAACAAAAAAAAGTTGCATTCTCAAGAACCTTAATTTCCTTCATGAGGTCAGATTTGCTTAAGCTGGGGCTTGCACCCTTGAGCGTTTTTTGCACACTTGACTAGCATCTGGAAGGAGATGGCATGATTAAATTCCATAGAAGATCATTTGGAAATACTATATAATAAGGATATGAGTAGTGATACTTTCTGAGTTGATCCTCTCCAACCAGTGTAAGCTGCCCACTGAGCCACGCTTTTAATATAAAGTAGGTTTTCCAGACCTCAATGAACAGTAGGACGTAACTGAGGATTTGTGAGACCAGTGACAAGACAGATGATACATGTCACTAAACTGAACACTGCAGCGTGTAAAATTGTTAAATTGCTTGTGTGTTTCATGGGTGAATATTTTGATGAATGAATAGTGTAGAAGATGAAAAAATACCAAGTTGCCATGCAAAGAGTTACATGAGCACAGCGAGAAAGTATAAGTATTTAACAACTTGATTACCTGCGGGTGCATTATCACAGATACGCAGGTCAAAGGCATCATCGTAACCAACCCTGTAGTTTGTTCTGGCTCCGGAATCCCAAAGTACAACGACTGTTTTGTCAGGAGAAGCTTCACTTCCTGCTTTCCCAACCTCGACGACCGTGCCAACATGGCCCTCTCCGCCATCCTGGTTTCCCCACTTCCAATCAGGTCCCCTGACAACTCTAGTCCCGATTCCAATCATTTGATGCGAATTTAGAAAAACTCCTCAACACATCAATCATGGACTAGAGATTTGTTTCATCATGTTGGGATGGATGACACTCATTTAGACAAGCAATGTAGACAGCACAAACCATCACTTGGTCCAACACAATTACAGTGGCACAGTGAACTTTAAATGAAATATAAACTTAGAATACTGATAAGAACATATTGGTTTCATGGTGATGAGCTACGGAAGAAGAGAATGCTGAAGCTCTAAATGGAATCTGACCATCTTGATAGCACTCACTGAGAAGGGGTGAAAGTTTGGTGTAAAATCACAATACTTAGTTAGACTTAACATTACAACGATATCAGAATAAAATCAACAATCGCACGGAATTGAACGACGGTGCTTGTTTGGTAAACTAAAACTCTAACACAAAAAGGATCAGCAGCTCGAATATGGAAAAATGCAAATTTACTAATTAGGAGATAACCTCCTAACCATATCAGTTACGCCATAGTCCAAGAGTATAGCGTGATACAGAGGTGAAAGAATACAGACTGCATGGTGACCAGATAAGCCAAGTGGGTATGCAATCCACATTACATCCGAACTACTGATTCCGTATGAGCTTGGTAGTTGAAGGTGGAGTGCTACTGGATCGAAAAAAAAAATAATGCCCCTGCCAAATGATGTTTTTAAAAAGCAGCGTTAAGGGTTGCCATTATTTTTGCGGGAAAAATGGAACAGATTCTGTAATTTGGAGCAGCAATATTATTAAGTAGGTATGTGTCGAATGTTTGTTACCTACATAAAGGCAAATGGTTCACGTTCATTAGCTATCTTCCATCGAAGATTTTCTTGCACCGAAAAAAAATTGATAGAGAAACGGCGTCATTTGCTGAGATAGCAACATAAAATTCATAAAATCAGGGCCGGTTAGGTATGGGGGAGTGGCGTCTGGGCCTCTCGCCATCACGCCTTCAATTTTGCAGATGCAGAACGGACATCCATCAAGCACGAGTAGTTGTATTTCTGCACCGTTTTTAACGCGCATCCGTTCCCTTGCTCCGTTCATGTATATTCTATTCGTTTCATATTGTGTTGGTTTCGTTTAGTCTCATTTGTTGTGTCGTTTCAAGATCTACGTGAGAAACACATTCGAAGATTGGAAAGACGTAATCCGGCCTCTCCAAAGCACCAGTGTATGAAGGATGCAATTAACATTTTGGTATGTTTCTTTTTTTCTTCTTTATCGGATTGTATCACGGTAGAGGTGTCGTCAGCTAAGTTGACGGTTGTTTACTTTCGGTTTGCAGGCGTTTTGTTCATGTTCAGAGACCCAAATTCGTCGTTGGCGCTTGCAAACCGAAAGTGAACCACCGCCAACTTAGCTGACGACACCTCTACTCACACTTTTCCCTTTTTGCCCGATGTGAATTTTTGGTTGTCAACTCAGAACTTAAAACGACCATTTCGGCTTTCTCAGCCATCATCAGGTGATTATAAAAACGAAGAACGAAAATAAAACGAGACGGAAGCTAAAACATAGTGTCCATGTCCACTCAGCATGATATCTTAAAGCAATGTTGTTATTTGCTGACATATCGATGATGAAAGTGCAGAGGTGCGTATCTCGGAAAACACGATTTTTCAGGAGAGTAAAAAAACTGTCTACATTCCTCCTTATTGTCAGTAGAAGGGTAATAATTCTTGAGGATAGCAAGAATAAGATGCTTTTTCAGACTTCATCAATATTTTGAGTAATTTCTCGCGCTGTTAGAAAATACGGTCGAAATGCCGAGATTCGTGTTTTCGGCACCAAGAATTGGCACTTTATCACGAGGTACGCATTTCTGCAATTAGTGTTTTCAACCTATTGTTGGCGGATTTTGATCATTTAAAAACTGTAAAAAGGTTTTCATGCTTACAATTCTTTATGAAGCTTTAGTTTGACCTCATACGGCCTGATCAAGCATTGTATGATTGGAATTTGACATTAGATTACGAGATACGCATTTCTGCAATTTGCGTTTTGAAGCTACTTCTTGATCATTAAGATCAAAAATAGAATTTATTCAACCTTAAAACTTATTTAGAAGCTTTAGTCGATCCAATACACTAAATGAAGCATTGTTTGACCGGATTGACTCCAATAAAACCGACCGTTGTGATGAACCGTCAGTTCAATCAGTTCATGATTGCATTGCGGCCCAGAGAGTAAAAATGGACATGAACGCCGCCCGCTGCTAGTAGGTAGTAGATACCTATGAAGAAATGATACTGGAGGGCCCTCGAGTGATAATCCGCCTTCAATTACAAGCGTATGCAACATTAATGACAAGTAACAGTACCTAATCCCCCCCCCCTTCCCTCGTCTATCGGCCTATCACCAGCATTCGCTGATATTATGCATGCTGGACTGCCTGATTATCCACATTTATCCACATCAACTTTTCCTTTAGATAGATAAATGAAAACCATTGAAAACAAACACAGAACAGCTGATCAGCTGATGTGCGGTGTTGGCGGGAAACGCTGCTGAGGAGCGCGCGTTGTGATTGGTTGTGCGTAAGGCGCGCCGAAAAATGAACAGGCCTGAACGAGATACGCATTCCTGCACCTAAGCCCGAGATACGCGAAAAAAGTTCTACGGTTTTAGGTGACTTCCCAATTTTTTTCGATTATAATCTCTTGCTGGCTTTTAATTTCTCTTGGCTGTCTCTCGTGATAGACGACATCTTCAACTACACGTTTATGCAGCTAACTCAAAACGGTCAAAAATCGAGATACGCACTTCTGCACTTTCACCATCGATATGTTGATGTAATGTTACTAATATGGATGGAATGTCAAATCAGTATTGTCAGGATAAGACTGACAATATCAACATTGATGTAAGCTCAATAGACCGGCAATCAAGGAGATGTCAAGAAGTGTCAAACTGATAACAATGTTGACGGGGGCATATCAATATTATGTAAGATTATTGTAATGTTACTTCAACCTTACTGTCAATGTTGTTGCAATGTTCAGGCAAGTCCGTGGCAGTAGCACATCAAAATTGATGCAATCTTACCTCATTCTTACTAAACTTGCCGCCCATGGGCCGCCTGTATTTTGCCGCCCCTTCTCATTCGTTTTGAAACGTCGGTACAAACCATCAAGTGAACGTGTCGGAGGAGGAGAGGTGCATAAGACGCGTTTACTCGCGTTGGGCACATTTTTGTAAAAGCCCTGTCAAAACTAGCAAAATTTCACGGAACTTTAGGCGAAAATTAAGTTCCGTAAACTTATCTCTGTGTGGACGAGGCCTTTTATTTATAGGAAAAGAACGAACAAATTATGAAAGAATACACATGAATGTGGTTTAATGATTTTAATTTCCCCCACTGCGCAACCGCACTGTGTTTGGCGCAATGCGTGAAGTATCCATATAGTCTTGTAGGCGCCATGCGTTTCACGCCAACCGCTGCTGACCGCATTACGTTTGACGCAATGCGTGAAGTATCCACGGAGTCTTGTAGGCGCTAATATGTGTTTTATGCTGACCGGCGCGCAGAGGGCTACTCCTTTCCATCTCAAGTCCTCGTCATCATTTCTCTCTGCGCCGCGCCGCGCCGCTCCAGGCCAAATTGCGTTATAGGTTTCTCTCTCAACTAGACTAATGGAAGGCTCTGTCTCTTGTATCACCGAAAGACGAACAAATTAGAAATTATACTTTACTTTAAATCTCAGGAAATGAGAGATTTTTTCTCCAACTCTCGTTTGTAATTTTTTTCTTGATACCTACATTGGAAAAAATTACAACATTTGCCGCCCTCTAAATTTGCCGCCATGGGCCGCGGCCCATGTGGCCATCCCTTAAATCCAGCCCTGCTCGACGTGCCGACGCGCCGGTGATAGTGTACTAAAAGTATGTAATGTTTTAGCTTCCGTTTCGTTTTATTTTCGTTCTTCGTTTTTAAAAACACCTGATGATGCCTGAGAAAGCCGAAATGGCCATTGTGTGTCAAGTGTGTGTTTGCGTTTTAAGTGAATTTAATTACATTACAATGAAATGTATACAGCTGCAATTTCCGAAGGTTATATCAAAGCATTCAAAACTCGCGAAGAATGAATGATGTACGTATGTTAAGTGCTTCATTCGTTCGAGTGCATAACTGTTCGCGCTTCTCGGTATATTTGTTGCCGATGCAGCGAAATTGAAGGCGAACCGCGAGTTGACGATATCTACTGATAGATTTACGCATTGTGTGATGGCTCTATCGAAGATATAATTATGTGTGTTCGTCCCCTCAAGAGGTAACCCTTTAACCCTCGATATGATGAAATACAGAGATTAAGGTGTTGCAGTCGAAATCAGGCTGCATGAATTTAAGATTTTGAGGCCCATGAGCGCAGTCAGGGGTGCGGGCCCCTTTAATGTGCGCTCCTCGAGAGGAGAGGATTTAACGGTGAACTTCACGCAGAGGTGGTCCAGGGACTTTTCCGAGATCAAGTTAGAGACAGGTAAACTAACCTCTCTTAAACGCAATTTAAGGAGCTGTTTGGCATGTAGTCATTGTGAGGGAAAAGAAGGAGAGATTGCCACCTCACCAACCATTCGTATTATCGTAAATAGGGAATTATTGAAGAATATAGGAGATTAGGAGAAGTCCTTCCGAGTGGGGTCGCTATCCACCCCATTCCAGGTTGTAATTACTTAAAGAAAAATGTTACCACATTATAAAAAAAAGTCAATAAAAAAAGGGAGAAAGTGCATACTATGCACTTGACTATAGCCTTATAAGAAACAAATGAAAATACCATGGTCGAGAAAAAATTAAAAAGTTTTTGTGGGTGGGGGGGGGAGGAAGGGAGGAAGGGGAGAACCCTGGAGTGCGAGCCCCTAGGCTTGCGTCTAGTGTGCCTCTTTGGCAAATCCGACCCGGATAAAAAGGGCCTTCGGAAAAGCGAAAAAAGTCGGATAAATAGGGTTGAGATGAACAAGAGAGGGATGGAGTAATGAGGAAGATTGTTGAAAACATCAATTCTCCTGTTATTGCTGTTATATTGCATTTGGCTGTTTTTAACTGTTGTGTCAGTAGTGAGTTGAGGAAGAAAGAACACTTGACTAAGTGTGAGAGAATGTCTGGAGGGGGGCGGGGGGCGGTGCACGGCGCGGGGGGGACGGAACGGGGGGAAAAAAAGGAAAAAGTGCGGCGAGAGAGCGAGAGGGAAGATGAAGAAAATGAAATTTGTAGGGGAAATGGGAAAAAGTTTTCAGTATAAGTTTGAGAGTTGGCTTGCGAGTATCTTGAAGTGAACTTAAGCTTTCCGAGTATTTTCTTTCGCGAGTTTTTACAGTGTGCGCCTCGGCTCGCGCCGCCCGCCGCCGCCGCTGCGCCCCATCGCATCGCGTCGCGTCGCTCCCGGTGTCTCGCGGGCGGCAGTCGCCTCGCCCGGTGCCCGTGCAGCTTCCCGGTGTTCCCGGGTCCCGCGGCTGGAGCAGATCTCCCGCTTCCCATCCGATCCGATCGCGGCCTTCTCTCGCTCCGCCAAGCCTCTCTATCATTCCTCATCCCTGCGCCCAGACCATCTCAAGGTACCCACGTCGCGTCGCCGTCGCATGCTCCCTTGCATGTCCTCCAGTGGCGTGGCGTGCTTTGCGATATATCGATTCTCCCTTTGAAGCTACGGTAAAGAATCGATTATTAAGGCGTTCTCTGCGAACACCCTGTCTATCGATTCTTTTCCATAGGTTTAAATGGCAGAAAAATGGATATATCGCAAAGCACGCCACGCCACTGATGTCCTCCCCACACCTGCCACCCTTCCGCTCGGCTCCTCCTCAACTAGTCAACCCTGCTAATTTCCCGGCTTTCAAAACACCTCCCCCGCCCCCGGTACTTTTTCGCGGGGGCCCAGAAACTTCCGAGGGTTCCCCCAAAATGAATTTAGGTCCCCTCATTTCAAGTTTTCGCAGAATTTTGCCCGTTACATAAAGTAACGCGGTCGACAGTTTTGTTCCCTCAAAACAGCGCGCTTGAATTTTCCCCCTTAAAAACAGCATATTTTACCCCGACAAAAAAAAAAAAAAAAAAAAAAAAAAAAAAAAAAAAAAAAAAACCTCAAGGTATCCCCATTTTTCTTGTCCGTTGAAGGTATCCTCACTTCTCAATGAAAACATGTCTAATGTTTGCCGATGCAACGTTTTTTAGCAACTAATTTATCCCATGCCACTCCCGCAATGCTGTTCAAGGGATCCCCACTCATCGAGGCAAAATTTTTAAATTTTTGCTGATGCAACCTTCTTTAGACACTGATGAATCCCATACCTCTGATCCAGTTACCCCCGACTCAATGTACAATTTCCTAGTGCCAGCCTTTTTTTCGATGCCAGTTTTTTCACAGTGCTAATTGGTCCTGCAACTTCTCTGGCACGCTACTTTCTCACTTCCTAAATCAGAATTATTATATTTTCCGATGCAACCTTTTTCAAGCACCGAATAATCCCCTGATCCAGATATAATGCCCCAATTCCAAATGCAAAATTTCTTGATTTTAGCCTTTTTCTCGATGCCAGCTGTCTTAAAAAGGTCATCGATCTTACGACCCATTCGATCCCCTCGCCCCTCAACGCAACTAAATTCCAGTATTTTTTCCCGATGCCATTTTTTTAAGGTCCTGATTTCTTCACCCATTCTTCGAAACTCTGTTCTAGACACCCCTGCATACAAATGCAATACTTCAAAATCTTACCCTTCACAACATGTCTGAAGAGACACCAACTTGACTAAATTTGCTCGAAATCGTTACGTGACGCTTAGCTCAAAGGCCTCTGCCGCCTCGGGCGTACGAAGCTGCGGCACGTAACGCTAAAATGTAAGATGAAAAATCGACACGAGGTGACAGTTTTTTATCCAGAATCCACCTCATAACACTAATTTGAAAGGGGTAGGGGTGTCAGAACTGATCGTGAACGTTACGCATTTTTTTTTAGGGTCGTGCAGACTACTTTTACCGGTCGTTACGACGAGGGAGAGGTCAGAAATCCGACTGTCAGCGTCACGTAATTTATGAACGACCCCTATTCACATCTCCAAAGTGTCCCGCGGATTAGTGCCTCCCCCCCGCCCATAATCTCGATCCATGCGTGTGCCATGCCGTCCACCCAGTGGCGTAGCCCGTAGCGTGCTTTGCGATACATCGATTGATCTGCCATTTAAACCTATGAAAAAGGATCGATAAACGGGGTGTTCGCAGCGAACACCTTATTAATCGATTCTTTACCACGGGTTTATATGGCATAAAAATCGATATATCGCAGTTCACGCCACGCCCCCGCGTCCACCCAGAGTATCCGATCTCGACTCGCGCTCTGCATAGTACGCAGCGCAGCAACTCGAACATCGCCGTGCCAAGGAAGAACGCTGTATGAACATTCGAGAGTTGCCGGATTTTCTCCGATAAAATTTTCATTTTTGAGAAAAGTTATGAATATTTTTTCTTGAAATTTTCAGGAGCTACAGGTGAAATTACGAACAAAATTATTTAAAAAAATTCGAAGGAAAATATTCACAAGTTCACTAGAAAATTCGTGTTTCATCGAAGGAAATTCGGCAACGCCCGAAGGCTCATGCGGCGTTTTTCCTGAGCACGGCAGAACAGTCGTCCCGTAGATTGCATCTAATGCAAAATATTCGCGTATTGATCAAAAGTTTGAATTGTGCGAGATGAAATAGTTTCGGTTTCCTTCTCGAGCTCGGGGCCCCGTGCTCATGCTCCCCCCCTCTATCCTCTCGGAGCTCCTGTTCTGCGCCCCCCCGTCCCCCGGTCCCCCAGACGCCCCTTCCGGAGCGCCCCCCGCTCCCGCCCGTTCGGTCGCCTTCTCGACATCACCATCCGATTTACTCTTTTCCTCATAACTTCGTTTTCCTGTTAACGTCTTTAGTCGAGTTGTGAAAAGAAGGGGAGTTTGTTTAACCGCTTGCGCTCCTGTTCCGGGGGGGAGGGAGGGAGGCAGGGGGGCTCTCCTCTTGAGTCTTTTCTCTCCGAGCTTGCGCCTCTGGTTCCAGCGCCCCCGTCGCTTCTCAGTATTTTGATGTTTGGCCTCCTCTGCAACACGTCTCATTCATTCACAACCTAGTTCTGACCGTGCCTTGTTTCCTCGCTTTAGATTTTTGTTTCAAATAACTCTTTTTCATTATTCCTCACACGAAAGCTCGCCTTCTTGCCTTATTTTTGGTGTCGTGCCACTTCATCAGTTAGAATTGGATTATTTTCATTTTTATATCTTCAGCTGGCTGATTATTGAACCTCATAGACAATGCGATAGATAAAAGAGACAAAGAGAAAATGGAGCGATCCTATTGGTGGAAGCGGGTGGTTGCAATGGACAAAGGAGGTAAGTAATAGACTAACTGACGGCAAACCACGATAGACTTCGAAGTTAGTCCATTATTTGTCCCCCTTAGTCTATGAGAATCACCCATTTCAACCAACAGGATCGCTCTTTTTTCCCCTCGTCTTCTTTGTTTATCACTTTGTCTATTAATTTCAATAATCAGCCCGCTGAGGTTTCGTGCCACTTCGTTAGTTAAAATTGGATTTTTCTTTTCATTTTTTTACCCTCAGTTTTGCTTTAAAGACAGTAATGCTTGATTTTGTTCAAATAAAATTTGCCTTTCTCAGTTTGGTCTAAAATTTAAAGATTTTTTTAAAGGAATACTCGACGAATTTCAAGCCAAAAAAAAAAAAAATAGTTGCTTACTTAGAATGACTGAGATTTTTTAGTCTTGAGTTGTTTCTAGTGTGTGTCTGTCTTTATGTTTTTCAATGAAATATTTCTGTGTTTAACAGTAAGTTAGTCAGTAAATATCATTCACAGATTTAAATATCTGTTTCCGTTTATCTTTTGATACAATATCGCACGGCACAATAACGAAGGGAGGGAAAGTATAGAAACTTTAATGATTTTTTATTTCTCCTTCGAAAGGACCTCGGTAGATTTACTTTGCACAACGCCCTCATCAGCGAATTTTTGAAGCGTGCGAATGTGTTGCTATCAGATTCATGCCCGCAATTTTTTACCATAAAAAATGTCAAATTACTGACTTCCAGCCCCCACCCCTTTCCTCAGAATCTATTTTGCATTGACCGAATATGTCAAGTTCTAGAAATTGTAACAAAATTTATGGCGTTATGACCCGAATAACGTTTTGCGTGTACAAATGCTCAATTTTCTCACATCAATAAGACAGTTATTAGTTCAATTAAGTGTCTATACAAGGTGCAGAATTTACTTTCACGAACTTTTACCTTACGAATTCTCAAACCTCCTTTCTTTCGTAAATTATGAATCGCTTTAGTGCTTTTGTGTGGCTTATAAAGATGATAGTATTTTTTGGGAAACCGACTGTGAAAAAATTACTAAAACAAAATACCTAGAATGGACAAACTGCTCCGTTCCATTCGTTTCGTTTCAATCTTTTTGGGAAATTCAAAATAAACCACCGCATTCCGTATTAGATTCTTGATGATCCAATCGCCCGCAGCCAAAGAGAGATTGGACCAATGAGAGTCAATTATAATAATCGACACTCTCATACTCGACACTTAATAGTCCAACCACACCCTTTTTTCAAATTTTCCGCCAAGGTTGAGACGAAACGAACGGAATGGAGTGTTTTATCGAGTTGGAGTGATTGAATAAAGGGGAAGAGCATGCCTTTGTTTCACTTACCTTGAAGAATAAAAAAATGAAGTCATCGCAAGTCGTTTCACGCATGCAGTCTGACATCTCAGGAGCATTTGAACAGATATACAGCGTACCAATGTTGATAAGTCTTTAAAGGATCTAAGTACAAAAACTTAAATATTGAAGCGATTAAATTGAGGAATCTTGTATTTAGTCGTATTGGTTCTGTAGACTGATGATTGAAGTTGATAGACAAATGAGTCAAGTGAAGAGTAAGCGATCCTATCGGTCAAAACGGGCAGTCGTTATAAAAGAAGGAAAATGATAGATGAACTATATAGGGTCTCTCGTGAGTTGCCGTTATAGATAGTCTATATTACTCGCCTCTTTGGCGATTGCAACCACTCGCTTCCACTAATAGAATTCTTTATTCATTTTCTTTTTGTCTCCTCTATCTATAACTATTGCCTATGAGTTTCAATAATCAGCTCAATGATAATCAAACCATCTAGTTTTGCTTTTTGTAGCTATGAGTACGCTAGAACCACTACAGTTATCCGAACTATCAAACCTATGACTCGTATATTAGAAGCTTCTAAAACTTCTTTTCCATAGTTTCAACTGAATGTGGATGTGAGCCGGATCCTTTTTCGTACTTTGGTGCGGTGACCATAAATCTATCTCGAGGTATATACGTATAACGTGGACACGGATACGGCGAATTACAGCCTGATTCTCCATTTTGGTGGTTATTCAATTTTTACATGGACGTTGAAACATTTGCATCAAGCGTTTTTTGCCACTGATTGTGAGTCAGAGATATGAAAAACATTTCCACGAGAGCCAAAGAAATTTAAAAAAACATTGACATCCATTGTTGTAATTATCGAAAGCAATTGTTTTTT